CATAAAACCCTCTTTAAATACACGTTTTGTTTCATCAAAATGGTCCACTAATTCTTTACAAAATGGCTTTTGAGAGATTCCACAAAGCTTTTCTTTTTTGGGATTTTATGGATTCCCAAACACAGCTGATCAAAATGACAAAAAGTCCGACTCATTGCTTGAACAGTTTCTTCCACATAAACCTCCTTTGGTGTTTATATAAAAAAGATAGAGCACACTCAATTACATAAGTTACCAAATTTTCAGGAAGATCCCTCCAACCGTTTACTCTAGATGACAGTTTATCGATTTTGTGAAAAAAAATGATCCTTTGTTGAGTTGAGGCGCTGTTTGAGTTCTCTTTTAAATATTATTTTGTAGAGAATTAGTTACCCTTCTACGGATATCAAACGCATATCATTTGACAAAGTCTGCTATAAGTTTTAGAAATTTCTTTGATTTTCGGCGCCGACTCATTCTCCCCAACCCAATAGATTGATTTTTTTTTTCGTTTTTAGCATTTGGTTGAAGGTAAACGCAGCAAGACTGTACTAAACAATAGCCAAATTGATTCAAATTGTTTCTGTTTCCAGTTTGAAGTGATTTTACATGAACTTGAAATGTAACTGGTTTTCTAACTGGCGCGATATCCTTTTTCATAAACAATTTGCAAGTTCCGTTTTCTCCAATACTTTTGTACTTATTATTTTCAAGTTCTAACTCAAATTTCTTCTACAAACAGCTCTATACAATAATATTTTGCGAACATTTTTTTTGAGGAAAAAGTGAATCACTTAACGAATCTCAGGGGAGTGATGAATGATCGTGAATTTTCCGAGAATCTCGCAAAAAATCCTGATTTTCAAAGTATATCGGTATTGAAATCATAAAATTCCAAAGCTTTTGGCTGATGAATTTAATGAATTCAAGCTGTGTCGATATCTCGAAATACACGACAAGCGATTTCTTGAAGATCACGCTTTTTGCTCAAATCTTCTGCAGTCTTTTCTCGATCATTGGCATTTTCGGCACGTACCGACGTATTTTCTACTCGATTTTACTCGATTCTCCCTTCAAAGAACATCTATTTTTATGCTATTTGATTCACTTTATGCAAAACATTTCAATGTTTATCTTACAAGTGATTCATTTTTGATCTAAACTTTAACTATTGTAAGAGTAAGCTGTAACTGTAATAGTTTGGTAGTAAGCAAAACAAAGCTAACAGTTTTCTTTTTTCAAAATAAACATATCTTAAGCTTATCTAGAGATAATGTAAATGTTAATTTTGGGTTTTTTACTTTAATTGTTTTAATGTTTTAATGATAAATTACAAAATTTTAAATGATTTTGAGGGAATCGAGCGTTCTTCAGGTCAGATTCTGTCAGCTCGCACAGAGTTAGACAACTTCTAGTCAGCTCGCACAGAGTCAGACAACTTCTAGTCAGCTCGCACAGAGTCAGACAACTTCTAGTCAGCTCGCACAGAGTCAGACAACTTCTAGTCAGCTCGCACAGAGTCAGACAACTTCTAGTCAGCTCGCACAGAGTCAGACAACTTCTAGTCAGCTCGCACAGAGTCAGACAACTTCTAGTCAGCTCGCACAGAGTCAGACAACTTCTAGTCAGCTCGCACAGAGTCAGACAACTTCTAGTCAGCTCGCACAGAGTCAGACAACTTCTAGTCAGCTCGCACAGAGTCAGACAACTTCTAGTCAGCTCCCACAGTGTCAGACAACTTCTAGTCAGCTCGCACAGAGTCAGACAACTTCTAGTCAGCTCGCACAGAGTCAGACAATTTCTAGTCAGATCTTCTTTCTCTCAATCTAGCTACTGCTTAAGAATAATCTTTTAACAGAATCTAAAATTTTCTATCAAAATCTTGATAAAGATAACGGGAACATTGTAGAAATGATTTTATTTCATTTCTCTTCATTAATTCGAGCTTAAATCTATTCAAAATCATTTCAAAACGAATAAAACATGCTGAAATTCAATGAAATGAGATGTCAAAGATCAATTAAAGATCAATTGTCAAAGACATTAACTTGTTGGGGGCAAAGATGCAGAAGTATTTTTTTTGAAATCCTCTTGAAATTGAAATTAAAGTGGAAAAGCGAATTTTGAACATAAACTTTAGGCGATCCTCCTCTTCCGTCACATCACTCAACCCGCTTGTCTTGCAACAATCTCTTCAAATCTTTGTTTTTCTCTGCGTTTCTCGGCTCGTTTTTCCATATTCTCTTTGCCATTGTTAAATTTAAATCTATCTTTATTTCGTGTGATTTCATTTTTCGCTGGTGTTCGGCTGAAAAGATGGGAGACGAGCTTTAGAAGAGTGTTTACTTTATTCACGGTAATCGTTTTTCTTTTCAACATTTGTAGTTTAAAGAAGTTGATTGAACTTCGAAATTCGAAATTCGAACTTTGAAAAGAACTTTGAATGTATTTTGTGGGAAAAGACAGAGAGTTCATTTTTATGACGTTTAATCTTTGAATGTTAGAAAGATTTTAAACAAAACATTTTCGAAAAAATTGTAATCTTATCTGAGTTACAAAACAATTAATTTGTTTTTTTTGTAGTTTTGAATCTCCCCTCTCATACAGTACTGGACAATGAAATATGGTATTTGAAAAATGATCGTCACTTTCGCGCGTCTTTAACACCCTTGTCTTTGTGTTTAAATTATTAGTGCTAGACATTTTCTGAAAGCTCTTTTCAAGGGCTACACAATGGTAATATTAATATTTAGAAATACGGTAAAGACAAGGGAGTTATAGACGCGCGAAAGTGCGAAAGAGTTTTTTCAAATATGATATTTCATTGTTCAGTAGTGTACAAATTAGACTAGAAAGAATGGATTTGATAAAGCTAAAAAGAAGATACGATAGTGAGATCTAAAGATTCTGAAGTGAGATCCAGCTACCATCCAGTGATCCTCAATTCCAGTCCTTTTAAAACTTTCATCAGAATAACTTTCAGATAATCTCTTCTTGCGGAGAATATTATTGGAAATTGAGTACAGTGATGATTCCTGTTGGTGAAATCCCGTATTGTTCGGGGAATCTGAAAGGATCAGCCGAGAAATCGAACACCGAATCATTGATCACCGTCATTTTTGAGGTGATCACCGTTTCGAGCAGTTTGCTGCTGATGAAATTTTATGATCGAGAGAATCGGTATGTCTTTAATATAAAAATCTCACATAAATCAATGTTCAGAGTGAAACGATCGTACAATGTAGCGGTGAATTTAGCGCGGAGACAATTAATCTCAACGATGAAACTTTTTTTACCGTATAGGTAAAAACAAAAGCGTTAATTTAACAAATTCAAATCCCAATTTTCAGCCTTTTCCATGTTTTCTCTTTTCTATCATTTTCATTGATCTCATCTGCGTATCGAGAGATTTTCGGAAATCTCTCTGAACCTTTCTATTCAGCTGGATCAGGTCTATGCTTTGTAAGTGATTTTAAAATGTTTAAAATCGAATTTTGACGAGCTAAAGATCCTATGAATTTTTGCTTTAATCAAGCTCTACAAAACTATAAAAGTAACACAATTTCTCAAAACCTTTATTCAATTTGATTTGATTTTTCAGATTCCTCAATATTTCACAATGATTTCCCCATTGATTCTCTATTGTGAAAAGTGAGCAAAATCGAGTCACAAAAACGGCGACTCTCATTCATTTGCAAGTGAAAGCAAACATTCTTTATTTTGAACATTATCGAACAATGTGGGAGCAAAAAGGAAAATCTGTTAAAAGGTAAACAAACTTTTCTGTGACTATAATGAATTTGTTTTTGCAGAGGCATTCTTCACTCAACTCTTGGTGCCTTATGGAAGTTCAAGAATCGCAAAGTCACGCCTATTTCATAGGAAAACGTTTTGATTTGTAAATTTTCGACAATAAAGATCTTATATTATGACTATATTGTAGCAAAATCTGCTTAAATACATGCCAAGTCTTGATAAAAGATAAAATTTAGGTAACTAGTGAGGTAGACTCTTGTCAGTCTACTACATCTATTGTGTCTACTACATCTGTCTACTACATAGCGTCAATTAGAAATTGATAAGGTTTGATATTTTAGTAGTTGCAATTGGCTTTTGCATCTTTCACCTTCTACCGTAATCCTTTTCTATTTTTGCATCAGCTTTGACTGTTAAGTCAAGAGATGAAGATAATGAGGATAATGCGGCGAAGTGCGCTAATAGGAACAAGATTGTTTCTAAACTTTTCCCACCGGGCTGGCCGGCTGGGGACCTGAGTCAGGTTAAGACCAAACCAGAAGTCAGGTCCTAGCCTGACTTTTGGTTTGGTTCTAACCTGACTCAGGTCCTGGTCTGACTTCTAGACTTGCTTTACTTAAAAAAGCACTTGTCAAATCTAAAACTGGTCTGTTTTCTGGCTTGGCTGGCTGTTTTGACTTGTTACAAGCCTTTTTCCATTCTACGATTGAAAAATTCCAAACAGGGAAGTACCATTCAATCATTTCCCCACAACAACTCATCCAAAAAACTTTTCAAACACAAAAATGCGCTGAGTGGAAAGATTACATAAAGCTCAAATTCGATGCGTCATTGCTTTTTGTTCACAAATTTCGAGAGACCAAATCGGTGCGAGTTTTGCGAAACGGTAATTACACGAGAATTTACAAAATAGTCACCGAAAAGTTTGTTTACCTATTAACAGATTTCTCTTGTTGCTCCTAGATTGATCGATAATGATCAAAATAGAGAATGTTTACTTGCACTTGCAAATTGAAGAGTGCGTTTTTGTGACTCGATTCCGCTCACTTTTCACAACGATTTAATAGAGAATCAATGGTGAAATCATTGTGAAATATTGGGGAATCTGGGAATTGAAATGAAAGCTTAGGAAAATTGTGAACCACCTTTTTCATTGGTTTCATTGACCGTTTTGTAGAGCTTCTATAAATTTACCGACTAAAGTATACTCGACTACCTTTAGGTTACCTGAAAATAAATATAAAATCATTTTTGAATAATCTTTATCCAGGAAATTTGAATTTTACCTCCGTTACTGGTTTATTTCTTTTATATTTTCTTTGCCTTGGGTACTCGTTGAAGATTCGCATGATCTCTGATCTGAAAGTCTACTGTCAACAACAAAAAATATTAAAATAATAATGGAAATTCATTACTAATCTATTTTAGATTAAATTTAAGATAAACTTCTCGGATTTGTTGAAATATCCATAAGTCTTCGTGTTCAATGGAGCATTTCTCCAGTGATATTTATTCGATGGTCGATCGTCTGTCCAATTTGAGCCGAACTCTACCTGCAAATCTATTAATTTTCTTGTTTTTATTAGTTTTAAGACAAATAAAACTGATTTTTGAATCTAGAAATTTACCAGAAGATAATCAATAGTGTTACATGGAGCGTGAAAGATGTGATTCAACAGATCAACAGCACACAATGTGTCTAATCTAAATTTTGGAGGAATAAATCTAAAAATCTAAATCTGATACATGTTCTAAAGGATTTCTTTGGTTATTTTAATATTAAAATCCCCATATCCAAGAATGGTGGATAAAAGTAAATGAAGCTGTCAAGATGGATTACGAATAAAAGAGGTAAATCAGCTATTTGGTTGTAAACTAAGTCTTTACTCTTTCTTAAATTGCGAAGATCTCAGCCTACAATCAATATATTTAAATAAAATTTAAAAAAACTTAAGCAGAATAACGTAATAGTTTTGATATAGCAATATCAAATTTTCAGCGATTTCAACAGAAAGCTAGATAAAGTTTAACCCTCTTAAAAAATAAAATAAACTTTGCGAAGAGTTTCGGAAACTTTTTCATAAAGTCTCTACATTATTCTAGTTTTAAATGTAGTAAAACAAAATTTCCATTTTCTTCTCATATGCTCGTATTTTTGAATTTAGCGTTTAGAGGTAAAAAATTGCCATCGCGCAGTCTTTTTGCCATAACTTGGTCGCTAATTGCTGAATAACTTTATATTGGGTTGGGGAGAATGAGTCGGCGCCGAACTTTAAAGGGACTTTTTGCACACATAAAGCCTTCTTTAAACATACGTTTGGTTTCATCAAAAGGATCCACTATTTCTCTACAAAATCACTTTTGAGAGATTCCACAAAGCTTTTCTTTCGTGGAGTTTATGAACTTCCAAACGCAGCTGGTTAAAATGGCAAAGAGTCCGACTCATCATTTGAACAGTTTCTTTCACATAAACCTTCTTTGGTGTTTATATAAAAAAGATAGAGCACATTGAATTACTTAAGTTGCCAAATTTGCAGGAAGATCCCACCGATGGTTTTTTCTAGATCACAGTTTGTAGTTTTTGTGAAAAAATGGCTTTTTCTTGAGCGGAGGCGCTGTTTGAATTTTCTTTTAAATGTGATTTTGTAGAGAATTAGTTAACCATTCTATGAGTATCAAACGCATATTATTTGACGAAGTCGAATTGAAGTTTTAGACATTTCTTTCATTTTCGGCGCCGACTCATTCTCCCCAACCCAATATTTTTGGCATTATGTTTGTAAGATTTTGAGAATAATTTGTTTAAAATTTCATTCAAATATATTGATTCTACGCTGAGATATTAGGAATTTCAGCAAGAGTCACGACTTACTTACTAGGGAACGATCAGATTTCACAAGTGCGAATCCGAACCAAAGCTAGATGACGCAAATCGTGTTTGTTGCCCATATGAATGATGCAAGTCGGACACGGGCAACACGATCGCGTTTTTAGTTTTTGCCCAAAAGCTCTAGATTTCTGTAAGAACGCATTTAAAATTTGAACCCCTAGTCACTGAGCGGTATCAGGGTATATAACGGCTGCCTTTGTCGGCGCAGCGTACCGGCCCGGTGGGACAGTGGTAGTGTCCCTGGTTCGCGCTTTTGCCAGTCGGATTCGACCCCCACGTCCGTCATTGTTTTTGCTATTTTTTGTTCTCTTATTTCCACTCTCTTTCGTTTAACTAAAAATGGCTCTTATTATTCGAGCTTGCGAAATCTGGTCGTTCCCTAGTTAGTTTACAACCTAATATTTGCACTACGTTAGTCGACTAACGACACTGTCATTTGTATTGTAATCTCAAATTATAATACTAGAAACTGTAGTTATTGTATTAAATAAATTAAAAAAAAACTTATTTCTTGTACCTTGGATACGTTGTTTTCAGTTTCGCAAAATCCGCGGAATCAAAAGCTGTCGTGAAGCTGACATTCTCTTTTTCATCCAAATACATTGCATAAGTGTCAACGATGAACGATGTCTGACCGTAGATTTTCAATTTTAAAATGTAGTTGTCATTTGGCTAAATGGAAAAGCTTGAAAAGTTGATCAGATATCAAATAATGTCACCCTTCCAAGTATTGCATCTCGGTATAGCCATGTTAGATTGAGACTCGGTAACGTTTCACCCAAAATAAATGGAAAATCTTCTTCAAAAATTGCAATATCGACATCTTTTGTATGGGGAATGATCGAGCATTCACGATACCAACCTGGAAATTAAAAAAATATTGTGTTTGTATTCGTAACATAGCAATAAAATAGCTTTGAATAAAATAAAATAGCTTTTTAAAATTTGCGAGTAAGTCAAGTGACTATTACAGGGTCCGCAAAAAGGTTTGGGTGTTCATTTGGTTTACCTCCCAAAAATCAAATTCAAACCGAATTTGCCAAGTGTTATGTAGAGAATTGAAGCTCTTAATCTTGGCTATATTTATCTGCTAAAAGCTTCCAAATTGAATGCATAAAACTCATTCAACAAGCTCTCGAATGAGCTCAACGCGGCACGCTGTCATTTTGGACCATTTTCTTTATAAAAAGCTCTTTAAAAGGCTTTTTTGTTATTTATTTTATTAAAAATATAACTTTTATTATTATTTGATAACAATAAGAATAAAATGAAACTGTTTTGTCAAATTTTCCTAATCAAAATTCTTTCCTAATTTTAATGAGTTGTCTTCATCCAATTTGGAAGCTTTTAGTAGATAAATATAGCCAAGATTAAGAGCTTCAATTCTCTAGATAACACTTGGCAAATTAGGCTTGAATTTGATGTTTGGGAGCTAAATCAAATGAACACCCAAACCTTTTTGCGGACCCTGTAACTACGATGTAGTAAATGCATTATTTTATTTCTATAAATGCATCACTTGTTTTAGCTGTATCTCTACAAGATTAAGAGCTTCAATTCTCTACATAACACTTGGCAGATTAGGCTTGAATTTGATTTTTGTGAGCTAAACCAATTGTTTTAGCTGTAGATATTCCGTAGACAACATTTATTGGGTTGGGGAGAATGAGTCGGCGCCGAACTTTAAAGGAACTTTTTGCACACATAAAGCCTTCTTTAAACATACGTTTGGTTTCATCAAAAGGATCCACTATTTCTCTACAAAATGACTTAATTGCTGTTCTCGTAGTCTTTACGGCTATGTCGCTGGGCTACGGTAATCTACAGGTAGTCGAGTATACTTTAGTCGGTAAATTTATAAAACCTCTACAAAACTGCCAATGAATGAAACCAATGAAAAGGGTGGTTCACAATTTTCCAAAGATTTCATTTCATTTCCCAGATTCCCCAATATTTCACAATGATTTCCCCATTGATTCTCTATTAAATCGTTGTGAAAAGTGAGCGGAATCGAATCACAAAAAGCACTCCTCCATTTGCAAGTGCAAGTAAACATTCTCGATTTTGATCATTATCGATCAATCTGGAAGCAACAAGAGAAATCTGTTAATAGGTAAACAAACTTTTCGGTGACTATTATGTATTGGGTTGGGGAGAATGAGTCGGCGCCGAACTTTAAAGGGACTTTTTGCACACATAAAGCCTTCTTTAAACATACGTTTGGTTTCATCAAAAGGATCCACTATTTCTCTACAAAATCACTTTTGAGAGATTCCACAAAGCTTTTCTTTCGTCGAGTTTATGAACTTCGAAACGCAGCTGGTTAAAATGGCAAAGAGTCCGACTCATCATTTGAACAGTTTCTTTCACATAAACCTTCTTTGGTGTTTATATAAAAAAGATAGAGCACATTGAATTACTTAAGTTGCCAAATTTGCAGGAAGATCCCACCAATGGTTTTTTCTAGATCACAGTTTGTAGTTTTTGTGAAAAAATGGCTTTTTCTTGAGCGGAGGCGCTGTTTGAATTTTCTTTTAAATGTGATTTTGTAGAGAATTAGTTAACCATTCTATGAGTATCAAACGCATATTATTTGACGAAGTCGAATAGAAGTTTTAGACATTTTTTGATTTTCGGCGCCGACTCATTCTCCCCAACCCAATACAAGAAATTCAGTTTCACATTTACTACAAACTTGAAGAAGAGACCAAAAATCAAGTGCGTTTTCGTTTTTCTGTTCACAACTTATGTGATGACTTAATAGCCCCATTAGTCCCCCCATTTCCCTTAAAAGTCTTCTTTTTTTTCTGCTCAACGGTCTTATCTATGTTTTGTTTGATTAAGATTGACGTTATTGATTCCAATGCACCAAGCAAGAAAGAAAAAAACTTACGAAAATCCAAACTAGTTTTGAGGGTTTTTTTAAGGTTCTCAACGTGATGATAGTCGTCGGAATGGCTCACCCAATAATGTTCCATCCATTAATATCGGAATCGCTCCATATTTAATGAAAAGATCCCGCAAATCGGCCAACTTCTCAACGTCTATTAGGGCGATTTTTCGACGTGAATCAGTTGTGGATCGATTCACCGCCACTGGAATCAAAAAAAAGAATTTGACACCTAATTTTAGTGGCTAGAGTTTGTCTAGAGTTTTGTCTGGCTAGAGTTTGTTTAGAGTTTTATCTGGCTAGAGTTTGTCTAGAGTTTTGTCTGGCTAGAGTTTGTCTAGAGTTTTATCTGGCTAGAGTTTTCGTATTTTTATTTAAATGTAAAGAGGAAATGTGAGATTGTAACGAGCAAAAAATTAGTGTAAATATTATTAATAGTTTTAGATTTTAGTAGATTTACAGCTCAATTAAAAGGTTAGTAAAATGGTTGAAATAAAAGTTCAAAGATGATTTAATTAACAAGAATCAACTCACAATTCAAGCAATCGATCTTCTTCCCAAAGCGCCAAATTTTTGAATGAATTGTGTAATTGATTGGATAAAATACGTGTCCTTTTCTTTGAAATGATGATCGAGGCATCAAATAGATCTCTCCATTCATATCGATCTCGAAATAATCCCTGTGAATGGGTTTAGTGAATGGATTGACAGCAAGGTAACCTAAAAGTTGAGTTTTAGATTTAAATCTTTTTCAGAAAGCATTTCAGTTTGACTACAAAGTTTGACTACAGTTTTTCTATAAAAATTCTCAACCTTGTAGCTCATTTTCATGAATCTCATGACTCTGAGCCGCTATTCGAAGAAATTCTTTTCGACAAAACAATGCTGTCTTTGTTGATGTGTATTCTGTAAATAAAGTTAAACAAGTTTTGTGTAAATAAAGTTAAACAAGTTTTGTTCTTTTCTTTCTTGTCTTTCTTTTCCATTCATTTACCCAATATTAAAATATCAACACTTCCAGTGTATTGAAAATCGCATTTTAAGTGTTCATTGTCATCACTTCTGGGTGATGCTCGAGTGTTTGGAAAGGTGAATGAAAGAGTCTGAACTTAAAGTGAGTGCTTTGGATTTAAATCAAACAATAAATCCCTTTAACAATAAGGATTGTCATTCTTTCTTTAAAAAAAATAAAATAAAAGACTAAAATCCAAGAATAGTTGAATGAAAATGAATTGAATGGCCTCAAAAATGCTCACAAATACAGCGATTACTCCAAACAAGCAAAAGTTCAAGTATCGTCTCTTTATATTCAAAACACGAATTACCTAAAATCAATTGAAAATTTAACTTTCTACAAAATTCCCCACATTTTTCAATAAATTACTCATCGGAATTTCAATAAAAAGCACAAAGTTTAGAACAAAAAAAAGTAATTTTCAATTGAAATGGGAAGCTCTTTAAATAGAAAAAGATAAGACTGAAAAGGGGTGGGCATTGCACATAAAAGAAAATGAAGAAGGGGAACGGGGAAAGGATTTGGCATAGGGATACAGTCATCTTGAGACGAATAAGGAGACACGCCTTTGTCATCAAAGAAATCAAAAGCCTAGCTTCAACTGATCAATGAGCAACAAAAACTCGAATAACTACAGAGCCGGCTCCCCTGTAGGGTCAGATCCAGACTCGGGCCTGGATTTGACCCAATTTATGATTATAATTAAATCTGTACTCGACATATTGAACGGTTGAATATTTCCTCCGTGTATCCTGTTATAAATTAATCCTTTATAACTTAGAAATTCTTTTGAGAAGCAGAAGCTAGCTCAATTTAGTGTCTCTATAGATTTTAGTTTAGTGTCTGTACTAGTAGTTACCAGATTTTCTCTAATAGTAGTGCACCCGGAGCGTCGCCTAAATTCCTCGTAATCTCGAGAACCGCTTATCAGAACCTATCGATGTGGGGTCGAAAAATGTAGCTGACGATGATATCTTTTGGGGGATTAGATTGTTGAGCTTCTGCAAAAGCTTGAAAACCGTAAAATAGTCACCAACTCGGCTCGCCGGGGTGCACTACTATTCGAGAAAATACGGTAACATTTTTGAATATTTTGTAGCACTGAAATCTTTCATTAGGCACATATTTACGGTTCTTTCCTGTTATCGGAAACACCAAATTTAAATTTAACTAATCTCATCAATATTTATTGATGACATTGGAATAATTTGGTTTACAGGACTAGGAACAAAACCCAGCAGTATAATTTATTCGGATTCGTGGAAAGGCTGCAAGTCTGAGGAGCTGGAAAGTGCTGGATTTGAGCATTTCAAGGTCAATTCCAAATTTAATCTCATCAACAAATATTGATAAGATTTAGGTTAACTTTAAATTTGGTTTCGTATAAATTTAATTTGGGTATTCTCGATAACAGAAAAGTACCATATTTACACACTAAAAAGATAAAAAATAGATAAATAATTTCCTCTCAGTTTCACTAAATGTTGCTCCGAGACACAGAGCTGCCCGAGGACAATCACGTGTTCATCGAAATCGCATCTGAAATAGACCGTTTAATTCTTTTTTCTTCCAAAAGCCGAATTGAAATCTTTACTCGTTAATAAAGATGTATATTGGTTTTGAAGTTGAATATAAAAACTATGGTGCTGGCTTCTACTTAAGAAGTGATCCCTGCTAAGCCGATATTCAATTTAAATCTTCTCACCTGTGCATTGCCTACATAAAGCAAAAGTGAACTTATAGTACAAATAGGAAAACTTAAGGGAATTTCATCTTTTTTGGCTGAATATTTAGTAAAAACAAAAGACATTGGTGTTTCTCTTTTATACAAAACATTTGCTTGCTAAGCCGATCACCCTGTGACATTCGTTTTCTTTCACGGAATTTCCAAAAAAAATGTCGCCCTTTTTGTGCATTTGCTAAGTAATTGAGTTAAAATTTATAAAATTTAGGTTTGAAGAAGATTTAAAAAGAAATCTCTAAAGATAGTCACTTTACGCAGAAAAATACCAACGTCAAAGAGATTATTCAACGAGAAAAGATTGACTTACAAAAAGTACATGTCAGTAGTTAAATCTGTAACTGGTCTGTTTTCTGGCTTGGCTTGTTACAAGCTTTATTTTCCATTAAACAGTTGAAACATTCTAGGGAATCGAATTCAAGGGTTCGAATCCGGTTGAATCTCTCAAACATTTTGCTTTTTTACCAAAAGCTCAAATATTATAGAAATAACCTTTTTAAGCAAAAGCGGAAAAAGCAAGAGCGCCCGCCGCTTTGCGCCGAACTTCGTCCCTAAACCACGAGGGGGAAAACCCGCCGTAGGCCGGTTTATTTATATTGTAGAACTACCGTATTTGCTCTAATAGTAGTGCACCATGAGCGTCGCCTAAAATGGTCGAAATCTCGAAAAGCGCTTATCAGAACCTATCGATGTGGGGTCGGAAAATGTAGCTGACGATGAGATCTAGTGGGGAATTTGAGTGTTGAGCTTCTGCAAAAGTTTAGAAACTGTAAAATAGTCATCAACTTGGCTCGTTTGGGTGCATTACTATTAGAGAAAATACGATAAATCATTTAGCTAAAACAAACTTTCCAAACACAAAAACGCAACAAAATGGAGAGATTACATAAAGCTCAAATTCGATGCGTCACTTTTTGTTCAACAAATCTAGAGAGACCAAATCGGTGCGAGTTTTGCGAATCGGTAATTACACGAGAATTTTATCGTTTTCAAATCAATAAAATATTTTGAGTTAAGTGGATTTTCGAAAAAAAAAAATATAATATTGACCCTCGATTTTTGGATTTATTTTAAGGGATCACATTTTCACTCGATTTTTGTTTCAATGCTTTTTCCTCCGCAAATCCCTTGATAATTCGAGGTTCAGAATGCTTTCTCGATCTATTCTTTTTGATATGTACAGCGATTCATTTTTAGAGTCTGAATCCGAAATCTTTTAGCTTTTAATCGAAAATGGCTTCAATTTTTTGAATTGGAATTTAGATACCGATGAAAAGGTTAAAAGGTGAGTTTTTGAGTTTTAAATTTTATTTCTATTTTTGACTTGAATGCATTATATTTATGTTTTTAGACAAAAGTTGGGTACTTGTGAGTCTTATGCCTGTAATATTTTAACGGGATGCACTATTAGAAGAAATACTATTAGAGAAAATGCCTGTAATAAATTTGAAAACAATAAAAATGAGAAACATAGAGTGTTGCAAGACTTTTGCACCCAGTTTTTAGGGTATGTTTTAGTAGTTTGGTTATTTACTTTTTTGTTTTACGTTGAACTTCAAATTTGTTTTTGTAAATAAAGTGTATATGTATTATTCTAATTAAAAACAAAAAAAGCCCCACGAACGGGTGGCATTTTCTATGAAAAAATTTCAATTTTTTTGAAAAAGTGATGTTGTCAGACTTTTGCGCGGTATTGTACTTATGTTTTTAGACAAAAATTGGGTATTTGTGAGTCTTATGACCGTAATATTACATAGTAAGGAGTATAAAAACTGAAACTTTTTCATTCTTAATGTTGTTGCCAAAGTCTTATCATTTAGTTTTCAAGGAAAAAGTTCAAATTTTAAAGAAAAGAAATGCGTCACGATTAAAAGATCTAAAAAAGAACTGAAAATGTGTCATTATTGATTGCGCACAGTGTTGAATGCGTTTCAGAAATGAGAAAGTCAGTGTGAAAAAGTCAATAAATTCAATTTGTCTATTTCTCTCAGCCGTTTCCTAAAAAGCATCTATTTCAAGAAATTACCGTAATCAAACTAGTTTTAATTTGGGGGTAGGCGCCAAATTTTTTGTGCAACTGGGTCATTCGCGCAACTGGGTCATTCGCGCAACTGGGTCATTCGCGCAACTGGGTCATTCGCGCAACTGGGTCATTCGCGCAACTGGGTCATTTGCGCAACTGGGTCATTTGCGCAACTGGGTCATTTGCGCAACTGGGTCATTCGCGCAACTGGGTCATTCGCGCAACTGGCCACAACTTTCTTCTAAGTGAACCAATCTTTATGATTTTGGGTTTCATTTTGTTGCACTTATTGAGATCTACAAAATGAAACCAAAATCATAAAGATTGGTCCACTTAGAAGAAAGTTATGGCCAAGTTGCGCAAATGACCCTGTTGCGCAAAAAATTTGGCACAAAGTGGCCTACTCCTTAATTTGATTAAAATGATAAGACTCAATCAAAGATACAAAAATTAGACTGATTGAATGTAAACTGACAGTTTGATTATGATAATTTCTAAAATAAGTGCCTTTTAAAAAGATTTTGGAAATATACGCGCCCCGCTCCTTTTACCATTAGCAAGCTAACTTTGAGCAACTTTGAGCTCAAATTTCTTGGTGTTGAGCTGTTCAATTTAAATCGTTTTTATACCAATCGACAGAGAAAGACTTGCCGCAACCAATGATGCCAATAATTTATGAATTCGACAGCCCAACACCAAGAGATTTGAGCTCAAAGTTAGATTGCCAATGGGAAAAGGGTTAGGACGCGTATCAAATGTCCGATAACCATTTAGGAAACGCATTTGATTCTAGAATCTGACTCCTGAAGAATGTCCTTTCCTCGTCTCCATTTCATTCTCGGTGCTCTCATCCTCTACACTTGTTTGTACGAAATGGGGAAAAAATTCTACAATTCGGAGAGTCTATTTGAATTCGAGAATCCGTTCACAAAAATAAATCTTACGTCTGAAAGCAAGCAGTGAGTTTTTCCACTCAAACATCGAAACATCCTTTTCTGGCCCACTCATCGTTTTTAAATGTTGGCTGAATTAAGTGCACCAGATAGATTGCGTTTCCATTTAGTAAAGTATAATTTGATACCAAATCGCTTTTAGATTATCCTCCTCAGAGGCAAATTCAACCGTGAAACCTATCCAAATCCTCTATTACACGCAGCTTTTCATGAATCGAGCACAACCGACATGGGTGTCGAATGAAAGATGTACAAATGTGAAACCAGTAAGTTTAGCAATATCTTGAGCGAAATATGAATCATTTATTAACTGATCAATTTCCAGCAAAGTTGTCTCATCCACAGTAATCGCGAATTCCTCAACGAGAGTGATGCGGTCGTTTTCGAGCCACGTTTCGTCAATATGAGGTTAGTTTTAAAATTAAATTGTTCTTTGAGTGTAGTTAATGAAAATGCACCCTTTCTGGTGCACTGAATGCACATTTCTGGTCACTTGCACTTCCATCACTTACAATAACTTTTTGATGACACGAGAAAAGTGATGATTAAAATGAAAGCCTAGTATTAGGCGTTTACTTCTCGAGTTGTGAGAATCAAAAAAGTGTCTAGATCTGTAAGAATGTCAGATAATTTACTTAACAACTCAAAACTTTATTCTAAACTTTGTATTTAAAAATTTTGCTTCAAGATTATCAACAATCCCCCGGCGAGAGGATCAAATTTTCATCTTTTCCGTAAACGAATCCCCCCAGCGTTTTCGAAGGCCAGACAAGAGTGGTGAGTTTAAAATTTGGCTTGTATTCTAATTCAGTTATATACTAAATTATATTTATTTACGATTTATATAAGTTTATTATATATAAAGTGCAGTGTCTGTCTGTCTGTCTATACGGGCATTTTGTCAGCCGTGTTTTGACCAATAAAGCTAAAACTTCTTTAGAAAACGTTAGAATATATTGTAGTTGTGTCATTTAAAAGAAATAAAAAAAACTAAAGTTAGATGATACCCGAGTCGAATCCAGGTCGCGCGGGCTGTAAGTAAGCCCCTTGCCGACTGCGCCACAGTGACAACTACAGTGACACTGACAACATCTCGCCTCCAAAACATTCGGCTAGAAAAACCCGCCGTTTTTCGAGTTTTTCGGCTGGGGTTTCACATAATTATTTCAGAAAACTTTTTCAACGCTTCAATGTACTTTTTGATGAGTTCCGACATCCCATTCAACAATCGATATCGATGGGTGAATCAAGAAACGGCTAAAAGAGAAGGTTTCATAAAGATAAAAAGCTAAATTAGGTCCATTTTGTTTTCTTTAATTGATTTTATGTTCCAGGTCGTTTCTTCGAAGCAATTGGAATCAACGAGAGTTTTCTGGAACGTCCTCGAACGCATTTCATCAGTGCAATGATCGGGAATTGTCAGAGTACGCCAAGTGGACGGACGAGGCTCGTCAAAGCATTTGAAAGGTTAAATTTAATCATTTGGTGGTTAAAGAAGGACTAAAAGAGGATTGACAGCTTTTTTTCTAATTTACAAATTAGAAAAAGCAATTTTGTCTTTTTTTTTGGAGAATTCTTGAGTTGAAAAGAGTAAATGACAGTAATTTGTGGATATTTTAGAATAACTTTTCAAAAATAAATCAAAATAGAGATTTTTATTAGATTTTAGACAAAATAGCTTTTATATATAAAGATATTTTCAGGCAAAACTATTTGAGTCTTTTTGGCGGATGTTCAGCGGTGAAAGAGCGGAAAAATGCGTGCGCGAAGAGTGAGGATTTGAAAACTTTAAAATAAAGTTCTTAAAGTAAAAGAAACTCGAAATTTTATATTCTTTATCTCATTTTCCTCATTTCCACTGAAAATATTCGGCGTTGGCTTTCGCATTGTCCCGTAAATATTTTTTAGGAGATGAACGCTGCGTGCAAGAACTTTTCGAAGACTCCTATTTCTACTTGGCTTTGGAGAACTCGGTTTGTATGGATTATGTGACGGAGAAATATTGGAATCGCACAACATATCATTCGATACCGATTTTATGGAGTAGAGAGGCGGCAAAGAATCAGTGGGTTTTAAGAAAAAAATTGAATTGAATGCTTGACTATGCTAAATTGTTTAAGTAGGGATTTCTAGAACGACAATAAATTAGAGCCAAGCTCTTTAGCAACAATCGATCAGATGTTCCGAAAGAGCAAGAAGACAGTTCATAGTATGAACTTCATACTAGGACTGTTCAGAGCAGAGCCAGGCCAGGTTCGATCCTGAGCTGGGCGCTGGGTTAGTCTTTTGGCTGAGCTGACCCACTTAACTTTAGGCTATGGTTAGGATTAGAAATAGCTTACTTAGATAGTTAACATTCTTCATATTTAAACGCTAATACACAACGAATTCTAGTGGAATTCCCGAGAAATCGGTGATTTACGTGGACGATTTTGAAACGATCGACACTCTTCTGGACCACTTGAAATATTTACGGGACAATGCGAAAGCCTACGCCGAATATTTTCAGTGGAGGTGAGGAAAAGCTTGGCATTGCCCCAACTACCGTAAAAATAAAGGATTCTTCACAGAAATCTGGATCTTTTCATTGTGAAAAGCTATCATATGCAAAACCCAAAGCCAATTCGATACTCTCTTTGTTCTTTTGTGTTCTTTGTGCGGCCGCGTAATCGCTTTCCATCTGATACACGCCCCGATAGATAGGTGTTCCCTTCTGGAATCCTTAAGACGAAAGGCGCGGTCAGAGACTGGGCTGGCTTCGCCGTGTTGGGCTGCGCTGAAAATTCGGCTGAGGTGGGTTATGCCCAAATTTTTGAGACCCATCTCCGCCTGAAATTTGCCTATATTTTTGGCTATAAAATCCACTGAAACCGGGTGTTGTCGTGACTGAAATTTTGTTCATCCTGAAAGAAAATAGAATGAGTTACGTGTTGGAGACATTGAAAAGACCCGGATTTCCGTGAAAGAATCCCACGTTCTAAAGTGCATTCTAAACTTTCACCCATACATCATATCTTTCACAGCTCTCTGTGAAAGAGACCACAGCTGTTGTCAACCATTTTTTTTCAAACTTTTCGTGAAAGAATCCCACGTTCTAAAGTGCATTCTGAACTTTGACCCATACTTCGTATCTTTCCAAATCCATTCAACACAATTCTCTCGGTTGTCAGCCATTTTTTTCGAAGTTGACAAATTTTTCCAATTACCAACTCGAAATAAATGCTAATTTATGGGTTTAGCTGAAATCTCTCTCGCAAACTTTCGAATTTTCAGAAGAAATTACATGTTTATTCCCCACAAGGAGCCGCGAGAATGCCTATTATGTGAATATGTCCAAGGGAAACCCAAGAAAAAAGTCGTAGGTTTTCAATTTTTCACAAAAAAAAAGTTTTAAATTTCAAACTTTTTTGTTGTTGAGGTTTTGACGAGATTTCCTTCAAAAATTCCTTTCAGTATGCGGACATCTACCAGACTTTCGCTCAACAATCTCATTGTCAGGCCAATTTTTTGGACAAATTTCGACCAAAAAAACCGTAATCTTGGAGATTTTTTTGAAGTTTTTTTCTTTGTTTTGCAAAACTCACACGCAAAATACGGGCCACATTTTGTTTTTGAGATTTCTTGAAAAATGAATAAATTCTTTCAATGTGTTCTAGCTTTCTATCATATTTCGCATCAAATTTAGTTCGTTTTACTGTTGATTTCAGTAGCAAAATTGGAAAAAAGTGCAACTTTTACATTTCAAATGTTTTGTTGATGATCAAAACACAACTTTTAATAGTAATTTTTCACGAAATTTAGAAGAATTTGGGGAATATATTTAGAGGAAATGAGAAAAAGATGGATTTTTTTCTTGAGTTTTTTCTTGAAACCGAGCAACCAGACAATAATTAATTACTCATTACACAATGCAAACATCATTTCTTTTGCAATGCAGCAAGTTTTGTGTTTTCAAAAGATCGCCATCAATTCTCTTATCTGGTGAAGTGTAGATTCTCATATCATAAATTCCTTTCTTCTTTTGCATCTCTTCCCATCAAAAAGAGACACAGAAATGGTTAGAGAAGGGAGGCGAAAGCTACACATGAAAAAGGGTTTTTTAAAAATCCCATCTTCACAGACAAAGAATTTTCTCGTTTTTTTTGACCCACTTTCTTTCAGTTCCAATTTCAATACTCTCAAACGGGCTTCGATTTGAAAAAGGGCCCTTCATTTTCGATTTTTAATAAATTTAAATTGTTTTTGCCTTTATCAGTACTGTAAATGCGTACTAGATGAGCTCGAAATTTTAGGTGAAAAGATTTTCACGATGGACTCCTTCAAAGAAGTCTCTAAAGATTATGCCAAGAAAAATGGATGGTTTAATGACTCCGCGAAGATCGCGGATGGGAGCTTTGCAAAAGTTTATGCAATTCCAAACACAGAACCGTGAGTTTCTCTTTCATCAAGGCCTTTTGATATCATTGCCGTCATCTTTATTATAGCATCAACAAATCGATCAGTTAGGTAAAAAAGAGCTATGAATAAATATTCATCCAGCTCACTTTTGGTTTCTCTCCCCTCCCAGGATCGCATCTTTTTCATGAAATGACTCAGAACTGGGCCCAACCGCAACATTTCAGACCACTTGTTGTAAAAAATTTTTTTGCAACCGATCAAAATGAAGATCAAATAAAGATCACAAACGAAATAGCTGCCTTGCAAGAACTGTCGCATCGACTTGTTATCGGACACGTTGGGGAATTGTATCGAGAGACTCCACAAAGAGGAAAAATCATTGTTGGAATTATCATGGAACGGATGAAATTTAATTTGGGCCAATGTAAGTGTTTTAATAAAACAGATTTATGTAGGTTCTTAATTTCTACCCACTTTGGCGGTGCTTTATACAAGTTACATTGATCGTTAAAACCTATTCCGTCCCCTGAAAACCCATCAGCTCTACCTTATGAGAAATGTCTCTCTGGCAAGATTGAGATTTTAAAAGTTTACTGACAGGGGGAAGGTCAACTGGCTGAGCCAGTCAAATGCTATGTGACCTATAACATTCGGCACAGAATTTTATGCTGGTTCCGAATATATAGTCAGTTTTTGCTAAATGACAATCTGCCAGGAGTTATAAGTGTTTGAAATTTTGTTAGGACTCTAAAAATGTGGTCATTTGGGTCTTAGCGGCCTCCTTGCGGACTAAATTCGGTGCAGCCGTGGCCGAGTGGTACGGCGTTCGTTTCCAGACCTCACAAGTTGGATCCCCACTTTGGATTTTTCTTTTGCTTTTTTCAAGAAGTGTTCTTTGTGCAAGGCATATCGCTTTCCATAGATAAAGCCATAAGGTAATGTTGACCAATGGCCATCAACTATTCGTCAGTTCCCACGGGCGGAGGCCACGCGCACAAAGAAAACTAGTCAGCACTTCTTGAAAAAAGCAAAAGAAAAATCCAAAGATTCCTAAAAAAACTTTAACTCCTGGCAGATTGTCATTTAGCAAAAAATGACTATATATGAATGAACCAGCATAAAATTCTGCGCCGAATGGTATAGGTCACATAGCATTTGACTGGCTCAGCCAGTTGACCTTCCCTTGTGAGTAAGAAGCTCTGTAGTTTGGTCATTTGTAAAGCTTTTCGAAATTCGATTTAAGATTTTCCCTTTTCAGGGACTATACAAATAGTATAGGTATCTTCAATCCAACCATCTCGTATTCGATGTATACCGTTGTTTGCTGGATGGAGCAACTCACGATTATTCTCAAACATTTACAAGATAAAAACTGGGCGCATCGCGATATTAAGCTTAGAAAGTTGTTTATTTTCTCGCCTTATAACTCGCCACGGTTTAGCATACTGATTGATCCGCTGTATTATTTGCTGTTATGTGATCTTGGAGAATCGGAAAGAAACGGTGACAATGATAGTATAATGAATGACAAATACTATTCTGGGATTGTCTTTTGGGAGATCATTGAAAGAAGGTTAGTTTGAATTTACTTTGAAAATTGCTCAGTGTAAGTGCATCCGCCTTCATTATAGCAGATAGCGTGATATGAAGCGCCGTTTCTTTTGAGACAGTCACTTTAAGAGTTAATTTCTCAATATCTACTGAGTCGTTTTGCATGAACTTTTTCACTCAAAACTCAAAGATAATTTTGTTTAGAAGCCTATCTCACGCTCTGCCCGAAAATCTTGACGGTATTAAGAAAATAGTTTATGACGAGACGCAATTACAATGTCAATACGAAATTAAACAAATCATACAGTGGTCTGTTTGTGGACGTGTATGCAGTATTTGTAAAAAGCTTTTAGCTTCATGTCTTGTAAATTTGGAGGCGAAATCGATCTCGCTGAGATTTTGAATAGCTTGAAAAACATACGAGGTGTAAGTAAAAAGTAATGTATTTTTACAAATTGAATGATTTCAGAAATTAGAACGGCAGATGTGTTTGGATTTTCCCCTCAAATTTGACCAAAATCGGGAAGTGCTTTTGCGGCCAAAATGGTTTAATGATAAAGCTTTTGACGTACCAGCTTTTGATCAAGATCAAGAAAAAGGAAGCGAGGATCTTGAAGATTTCGGGCAATTTTTTGCAAGTGCAAAAATGAGGATGAAATTTATTATAATTGAAAACGCAATTCAAAGCTTCAATCTTGAAGTGTTTAACTGGACGAACATGCTAAATAACCTAGAAGGAAAGTCACCACTCCTAAACCTTGGGCCTGAAGAATTAGCCAAAGAGTGGCAGCATTATATGCTGATGGCTCGACGTTGGGAGAGTCTTTATAGAGACTTGCCTCACCTCAAAAATGGCAATTTCCAAATTTTAGAGGGGTTTTCAAGCAAAAACCAACACTTTCGCGCAAATACAGGAGAAGAATGGGTTTTTGACGGAGAAATAGACAAAATCGGCGTTGTAAGTGAATATAAGTTTCAAAAAACGAGCTTATTGAATGAGTACGAAGCCTTTGAAGGCTTCTGGAAGAGCAGGACCCATTTTTTAGTTCAAAAGGAGAACGAACAAGCAGGAAAGGGCGTGAAAGAAATGGCATTTTTATTTGAAGAAGACGACACTTTTGGCAGCAAATATCGGAAAAGCATACCAACTGTGTATAGGGCGTTGAAAAACGTTTCGACAACCCAAGGACAAACTCTGCCTGTGAAGGGCTACATTTATCAGCTTTTTTGTCCACCCATGCACATGCAACGCTGCAGTGAATGCATCGTTAAATGCCCAATAAAAAGAAAAAGCTTCTTTTACCCGGACTTTCAACTGGAAATAACATTCAGTGAATGCGAGCAAAAGCAAAATTACCCCAGTTTTATTGCTCTTCATTTTGCGTTTTCTCACTTCCTACTCAAGCTGCCATGCACCAGAATGGAAGAATATGGGGACTTCATTGATTTTATTATCCTTTTAGCCAGTGTCGTCTATTTGAAAACTCTTGCGATTCGAACGAAAAACAACTTTTTGGCACAATTTCTATTTCATCAAATCAATAAATCAGGCGAAAGAAAAGCCTTTGTTATAGATAGTCAAGATTTTTTTGTCGAAGAAAATTTGCAATCAGCAGAAGTCACTTGCTTGGACGAAGATCTACGCATTTTTAGAAGGAATACGAAAAAAAGTGAAATTGGGATAAATAACGTGGGACTCTTGCAAATAACTGATTTGCTCTCCACGGAGAATATCTTTGCGCTTTGCTATCGTTTCATTGGATCTTATTTTTTGCAAGAAGCAAAACCATGCCGATTTTCAAACTTGCTAAATAGCAATATTTCGGATTTAACAGAGGACTCTGGAAATGTGCAGTTGGCTATGGGAATGACGCAGGTCTATTCATATCTTACGGATAATCCATTGTTCGAAAAGGAGCGTGCTGTGGATATTAATAAAGTATTTGTTGGCTCTGGTATGCTATTTCTTGGCGCCATACTGAGGAGTTTAAATAACCTAAAGCTCATAAAATTATCAGAAATTCCTGAAAAGGAAAAAGAACTGAAGGCGATCGTTTACTCACAACTGCACATCGAAAAATGGACTACCGGCTCAGTGGATACCAGCGTACATGTAATTAGCAACGATTAAAAAGAATGACATGTTATAAGTATTGCTGTTGTATGATATTTCAAATTGATATCTGTTGCTCATTTGTCGCTTTTGTCTTATGATTAGCTGTTTTGTTCTTATTGTTATTCATTGTTGATGCATTTGTTTCAAAAATAAAATATTTAAAGTACCTGTAAGAAAGGGCCATAAAAGAACCCATAGGTGCGGGTTCAACTTTTACTACTTTTACTTTCACTAATAGTAAGTTTTTCATTCCTAAATTTTATTTGATCTTCATTCAATTTTATTCAAAAAAACATTGGCCTGGGGTTTTTTGTGACAGCAAAAACTTTGATGACAAAGACTTTATTAGCAAATTTGAATTGAATATTTAATTAGCTTATCTACAGTCATGGACAAAAGTCTTTTAACGTTGGTTTTTAGAAGTTTGTTCTTTGTACATCTTGATCCAAATCCGACCAATTTGCAAACGGTTAAAAGATTTAAAAACAAACTTCGGAAAACTAACGTTACAAGACTTTTGTCCATGACTGTATTAATACTTTAAACATTCTCAAATGTCATGTTCTTTGGTCTTTACAAAAACAAATATGGCGGCAATCTGTAAGTCTCGAATTCGATCTGATAATAGCCATCAAACTCCGGCGACGACTTCAACAAGATGATTTGAGTAATCTAAAAAGTTTTAAGCTTACTTAAATCTCATACCGAATCTAATTCTAAAAATATATTATATTAATCTTCTTACTGTGGTAAAAGTATTTCCTTTGACACCTCTTTGACAAGCATTTTCTCACAGAGCTTTCTCGATTTTCCAGCTTTGAGATTTTGTTTCAGATCTCTTTCAACTAAATCATAGAACTCCCTTAAAGATTGAATTGGCTCTGTATCTTTGTATGGAAAGAAGTTAAAGTAAAAGTATGATAGTTTTTTCTGGCCATACTTGCAATTACAGTGTTGAATGGGTATGAGGAGGGATCGACACAGTGGGGGGATCGATTCATTGTATTTCCTGAGCTACGATGAGCCTATGGTTTCTGGAAACTGGAATTTGTGTACAGAAATATTATTGGGATTGAGTTTAATACCATTAATCTTCAAATATTTTGTATTGGTGAAATTCGAGAAGCACTATTTTGCTAGTTGTTCTTATTATTTACTTTACTTCAACCAATGCTGCTCCCACAAGATGCGAACAAGTTTGAGTAGACGATAAAAGGGTAGAAATGCTTAAGTAAAAATAATACTATTTGAATGATCCGTAAAGTTAGCAGCTATCATCTCTAACTACTTATATTTACATTACTGTGACTTTGATGCAACATATGGGCTAAAATGTGTGACAATGTATAAGCTGTTATAGGCATACAGTGTTGATAAATCACTTGTTTAATTTGCAATATTTTTCAGTTTCTTAACTCATAGTAATATCGTCACAGGTAGCCTATATTAGGCCCTTTTCAGATTTTGTGGTCTCGGGCAAGGACCGATGGGCGGTTTTGGGGCAGGTACAGCGAACACGTAGAAAACCTGCAAACCTAAACCAGAAAACACGAGAACAGAGAGAATCGAATTGGCTTTACGCACATGATAGCCTTTCTCAATGGAATGAACTGAATTTCCGTGAAAGAATCCCACGTTCTAAAGTGCATTCTGAACTTTGACCCATACTTCGTATCTTTCCAAATCCATTCAACACAACTCTCTCGGTTGTCAGCCATTTTCTTCGAAGTTGACAAATTTTTCCAATTACCAACTCGAAATAGATGCTAATTTATGGGTTTAGCTGTAATCTCTCTCGCAAACTTTCCAATTTTCAGAAGAAATTACATGTTTATTCCCCACAAGGAGCCGCGAGAATGCCTATTATGTGAATGTGTCCAAAAGAAACCCAAGAAAAAAGTCGTAGGTTTTCAATTTTTCACAAAAAAAGTTTCAAATTTCAAACTTAAATGAGAATTTGTTGAGATTTTGTTGAGATTTCCTTCAAAAATTCCTTTCAGTACGCGGACATCTATCAGACTTTCGCTCAACAATCTCATTGTCAGGCCAATTTTTTGGACAAATTTCAACAAAAACAGTAATCTTGGAGTTTTTTTGAAGTTTGTTTCTTTGTTTTGCAAAACTCACACGCAAAATACGGGCCACATTTTGTTTTTGAGATTTCTTGAAAAATGAATAAATTCTTTCAATGTTTTCTAGCTTTCTATCATATTTCGCATCAAATTTAGCTCGTTTTACTGTAGATTTCAAATATTGAGTGGCAAAATCAAAAGCATTTCACTTACACAAGTGCTTTGTTGACGAAGAAAATTTGAGCTTCAAAATGTCCCTGAATCTTTTATCTTTTACAGAATGAAACTAGTTACGATAGTTTTCTAAGCTAACCAACTAGGTGCTCTAAAGTGCTCAAAAACTACCGTAACCAAAGAGTCGATTTCATTTCTGATGTATCTTCTGGTACAATCCAATGTTCTTTTTCTAAAAAAGCAAATTTCATGGAGAAAAGAAATGAGTAAGATTAGTTTCTTGGAAAGCCTTTTTTTTCTCTTCAATTCCTCTACAAATTTCTCGGAAAACTCTTTTTTAAGCGAACAAAATCCTGAGAAATTATGGGAAAATTGCCTTTTCGATTCACGAATTTACGGATTTCAAAATTTTCTTTGGCTTTGGAATTGATTTCGTAAGTCTAAATCGGTTCTAAAACACACTTTTTCACGGTTGAATTCACAGATTTTGCCCAAATAAACTTTGCACTTTAGTTTGCACAAAATAACTTTTTAGATATTTTCTATTTGGATTGTAGTTAGGAATTTTTAGAATTGTAGATTTCAGAAAAATGCTGCTCTTGGTTTCGTAGAATTTTCGACTTTTTGAAGCTTTGTTTTTCAAAAAGAATTCACTGCATTCTTTGAATTTCTTCAATCATCTTCATTGCTGAGAATCGTTTTTAGTTGAAGCGATTTTAAAACTTATTTCACTCACTTTATTATTCTATGATTTGTTCTAAAGTCGGTTACTATTTGCTCTGCGAAACTTTTGATTTGCAGTACTATTGGAGTAGCAAATAGTCATCTTACAGTCTGAAATCAGATTGGAATATAAATCCAGTAGCCCAGGTCAGAAATATTGCAGCAGGCTGGCAGAGGCTGGTTAAGTCTTTTTGCTGAAGAAAAATTTTACTACCGTATTTTCTCTAATAGTAGTGCACCCCGCCGGGCTGAGTTGGTGACTATTTTACGGTTTCGAAGTTTTCACAGAAGCTCAACGCTCAAATCCCCCACAAGAGCTTATTGTCAGCTACATTTTCCGACCCCACATCGATAGGTTCTAATAAGCGTTTCTCGAGATTTCGATCAATTTAGGCGACGCTCAGGGTGCACTACTATTAGAGAAAATACGGTATTCACGTTGTTTTTTATAACTTTTGACTTTCATAAATTCACGCTGACCTGATTAGCTGAGCTAAGCTCTCAGCCCTTCAAATTTACAGTTGACTCTCTCTAGAACGGAACTCTATATATCGGAAAACTCTAACGGAATTGAATATTGGTTCCGACCGACGCTAAGCGATATAAAACGGTACTCTATATAACGGAAAAATTTTTTTGATCCCTTCCATCTATTCCGTTATAGAGAGAGAGGAAAATTTCCAAATTACCGTATTTTCTCTAATAGTAGTGCACCCCGGCGAGCCGAGTTGATGACTATTTTACGGTTTCCAACGTTTTCGCAGAAGCTCAACACTCAAATCCCCCACAAGGTCTCATCGTCAGCTACATTTCCGTTCCGTTATAGAGAGAGTCAACTGTACAAACGAAAAATTGCCTTTTGTTTGTAATAATCATAACACAAAGTTACAACACAAAACGTACAAAATAAATAACAATAAGCGTTGAACAAAAAGTTTTCACTTGAACAACACAAAGGAAAACATTTGTTTTCATATGGATTGCTGAGATGACAACAACTATTGCATTGCACAGTCACCTTCCGTTGCTACATCCACTCGTACAATTGCAATTTATATGCCTTAAAAACAAAATGCCCAGAAGCTCCGGTGAGCATAGAAGGGGATCGCAAAGGGGAGACACGCAAAATATAGCAAAACAATGGGAATTTATGAAAATATTCACACGGGGTCTAAATTAAAAAAAAAAATCAAAATAAAATGTGACAACAAAACAAGGAAATGTACTTGTTTTTCCTTTCATCTTTCAGTAGTCGGCGAATCGTTGGTTGGCTCTCTTGGTTGGTTCTCTTAGTTGGCTTCTCTTTGCAGTAAAGCGACGGGCCGGGAGTCCCTATCTTCTGATACACTTGTTCACGACAGCTTACTTTGACTTGGACGGCGCTTGGCGATTTCTTGTGATGTTGTTGGAGTCATCGAACAGTTTGTACGAGATGGCGATGATGAGAAGTGAAAGACGTAAACAGAAGAAAGGCGTGAGAAAAATTTGAGATTTCTATGTAGAAACTAATTAGCTTAAAAATTTGCGCTGAAAATGCAAAAGTTATGAAAAAAATAAACGTGAATAGCAAAATTTTTCTTTAGCAAAAAGACGTTAAAGGGGGAATCAGATTTTTTCGGCAAAAATTCTCTAAAGCGTTTTTATTTAATGTGTTGTGACGAAGAATATTTAAAAGTGAATGAGCAAAATCGATTGCATAAATTTTATTCATAAATTTCATAAAGTTTATCCGTGTTTTATTTATAGTTTTCGAGTGTCCCACTCTCTGAATTTTCAGTTTTTCAGCCCCTTCCTCAAAAAAATAGCAGATCGTTTTGCGAAATTCAAAATACCACTCAATAGCAAAATCTTTTGCGCATCTTTTAAAGTATAAGTGATTTGAAATGACTTACTGGGTGGCGAGAAAATTGACAAAGTGGAGAAGGGGAGAGTACTCCTTCTAAAGTGTCCCCCTGTGATAAATTCATGTTTAGTTGAATATTCTGGGATTTCTGGGCAAATAAAAGTGGTAAAACTAGAATTTTCGCATTTTTCACACAAAAAAGTAATTAAAAATAGTAAAGGGGAATCGAAATATGAGATAAAGGGACACTTTCAAAAAGTCTTCCCCTTCTCCTTCTCACCCTCATATCTCGGCCACATTTGGGTCTTTTGAATCACTTTTTTTTGTAAAATATGTGCATTCAATTTTAGTTTTACTGTTTTGGATCGGAGAATAGATTGCTCGGAAGAATCCCAGAAGATTTCAAAAGGAAGAATACTTTCAAAAAGTCTCCCCTTTCTTTCTCATCCTCATATCTCGGCCACATTTGGGTCTTTTGAATCACTTTTTTTTCTAAAATATGTGCATTCAATTTTAGTTTTACTATTTTGGATTGGAGAATAGATTGCTCGGAAGAATCCCAGAAGATTTCAACTGAAACCTACGGGGACACTTTAGAGGGAGTACTCTCCCCTTTAACACTTTGTCATTCGCCACTCAATAAGTTATTCGGAATGACTTATAATTTAAAAGATTCGCAAAAAATTTTGCTATTGAATAGTATTTTGAATTTCGCAAAACGATCTGCTAGTTTTTGAGGAAGGGGCTAAAAAACTGAAAATTCAGAGACTGGAACACTCGAAAACTATAAATAAAACACGGATAAACTTTATGAAATCGATTTTGCCCATTTACTTTTAAATATTCTTGGTCATAACACATTAAATAAAAATGCTTTTGAGAATTTTTGCCGAAAAAAATTTTATTGAGAACGGAATCGGGGGTAGGCTAATTCCCGCAATTTCTTTTTGCGCAACTCACCATAACTTTCTTCTAAGTGGGCCAATCTTTATGATATTAGTTTCATTTGGTAGATCTCAATAAGTGCAACAAAATGAAACCAAAATCAGAAAGATTGGTTCACTTAGAAGAAAGTTGTGGCGAGTTGCGCGAATGACCCAGTCGGGCAAATGACGGTGTCGCGTAAAAAAAATTGCGAAAATTAGCCTATCCCAGGAATCGAGAGTCTTATTCCCCATTTAAATTCTCATTTTAATCAAAAAATTAGCACTTAAAGTTTGAGCCCAAATCGGCTACGGCATATAAAATCTTTGAAAAAATCAGTGCACAAGAAGGGGTGAGCTGAAAATGAGAAAAACAGGATTATTTTCGAAATAGCACATTTTTGACGCTCTTGGCTATTTTAAGCGATTTCTTCGACCGGAATAGCTAAAGTTTTCCAAAAATTCACTTCCAAATTTAGTTGCTTTTCATATTTGCATTTTGATTGAAATTTGATTCGATTCAATTCCAGATGTCCTCCACTTGCCCAGAGATCTCAATATTCTCAACAAGCTTTTTCCTCAAAATCACGATGTCCACCCAGTTGCTATTCGGTCTCATTTCTATAATCGGCGTCTTTTTCACGATCCGAAAAATTCTCTCCTCAATTCAAATGGATATCGTTTTCAAGGAATACCTTTGTCTTTGTTATTTTGTGCAATTCCTTCAGAGTTGCGCATTGTTTGTGCTACAGGTAAAAAAGAAATCAATTATTGATTAGATTAGTAATTGAGATTCTAAAGTGTAATGAGAAAATTTCTAACTTTACATCCATTTTTTGAAACCTAATAAATTCGAAAATCCTTTAAAGTAGATGGTTTCTCATCTTTTTTTTTTCTTTCACACCTCAATTTTGTGTTATCAAATTGTTTCCAAACCTTGAATCAACCGAGAGTTTCAATTTAAACTCAAAAAGAGTGTGAACTCCTTAAAAGTACTGCAACGTAGTAATCTAATGTTTCACTACAGTAATAGAATAGTTTTATTTTAAAAAAAATCAAAATCCGCCATGTGGAAATCACAATGGAACTTACTACAAAGAGTGCCCATTTGATATCTACCCAACACCAAAGTGCACAAGATCCGGGGAAGGGAGGGGGTGAAGGGGAGTTAAAAGGAGGGGTGTTCAATGTCCTTTTCTTGGCCAATTTGGGGAAGACCCCATATCGGATGAGATCTTTGCCTAGTATCTGACTCTTTTCCCCAAGATAGTATCTTTGGGATAGAGAAAGAGATCATTCAGATGAGGTATTCAGTTCAGAATAAAAGCAAATGCAAATCAAATGGATTTAGTCGATCCTACTGACCGTCCATCTCTCAAATCCTCCCTGTTCTTCAACAATTTCCTCGACTCTTTGTTACGGTCTCCGTTTCGGGACAACTGCCGCCAATTTCGCTCTCCCATTTCTAAATTTCTCTTTGGCCATCATTCGATTAATCAATTTTCTTTATGCAAAGATATCCGATAAAAAGTTTCGCTTCATTTTGGGAGTTTTAATGGCAAGTTTCTGGTCTAAATAACTAAATTCTAGCTTTTACTAGATGATAATTTCATTGGAACTTTGGTGGAAATATGGACAAGATCCATGGCCAACGGGTGTCGTATCGTATTGTCTCGGAAATCCGAAAACTTTTGCTGAAAAGACGACGATTGAATCAATTGTGACGACAATTTTCGAAGTGATGAGCATTTTGATTGGATTGCTTGTGACGAGATTGTACGAGACACAGAAAAGGTTTGGGGGAAAGGTTACAAGTTCAAGTGTAGGGTTGTTCAAAAAGGTCAGCCAAGCCAAGCTGATCAAAGAGTTTTTTTTGGCGTAAAACGAGATTCTCCGATTCCCTTAAAGAATGGGTTTCAAATGGTTGCTTTTGATGAGGAAATTTGTCTTTGACTTGGTTTAGCTTAGAAAACTTCTCTATGAGTTGAGATTTTTGCAAAAATCGTTCTGTTATCGGCTTTGATGTATGAAAATGGAATTTCATTTTACCAGTTTTGGCTACGTAAGCTTTTCTGCTTATCTTTTTTTAATCTATTTATTAATTTAAATATCTTTAATTTAGTTTAGATCTATTTTTAACAAATCAGCTCTAATATTAGACTTAAAAAAAGCACGAAATTTTGAATCTATTAAACCTATTGGCTGCCAATCCCAGAGCTGAATGGATAACTGTTTTTGTTTTTCTGTGAAATTGCTTTTCTAAAGTTTCTATAGCTTCTAAAGCTTCTATAGCTTCTAAAGCTTCTAAAGTTTCTATAGCTTCTATAGCTTTTATAGCTTCTATAGCTTCTATAGCTACTAAAACCCTGAAAAAATCCATTCCTTGTTCAGAAAAACCCGCTCCTATAACGTTTCGGTGAACTTAACGAGGCGACAACTTGTCCAAACGATGCATTTATTTTTACCTTATAGGTAACTTGTTAATCCCCAGAAATCCTTAACCCCCAATCTCTAGCATTTTCCATTCCTTTTGTTTCCTCATTTTCAACTTCGTCGCCATCTACTATCGCCGACTCTTGACCAATCTCGCCGAACCATATTTCTCTGCAATGTCCGGCTTTTTCTTTGTGAGTACCAAATTTGGAATCAATCTTTGCATGACAAATTTTCAGATTCCAATGTATTTCACTGCAATCGCACCATGGATTTTGTACGGAATTCTCCAAAAAACCGAGCGAGGACGCCAGAATTCCACGCAAAGTCTGATCTCTTTGGAGAGACAAGCGAATTCCGTTTATTTCAACGCGTTGAGAGAACAATGGAAATGGTAGGAGAAGTTTTTTAATGTTTGCTCAATTTTGTTTTGGTTTGTGTCAAATTAGCAAACGGTTCGAAGCTTTTTTTGCTTATCTGATCTTTATATTAAAGATATTAAAAGAAGATAAGCAGAAAAGCTTTCTGGAAAGGTTATTGAATATAGAATCTTTGATTCAATTTCAGAACAATTTCAAACGTTAATCAAGACTTCTCTGATTGTTTATGAGTAACGCTAAAAAATTGAATTCAAATCGAGATCATTTCTTTTATTATTAGGTACTTGCAAAAGAAACTACGATTTTATTGATCTTATTGATCTTATTGATTTTTGGGTTGTTCAAATGTTATAATCCGGTTATAATCCGCAGTTTCTTTTGCAAGTACCTAATAGATAACTCTTTGAAGTTACAAATCTATCCTTACTTCTTCATTTTTTATGAGCAAAAAGTTTCCATGTTGGTCAAACCAATAAAAACAATCTTATTAGGTTGATGCATAAGTCTTTTCGTTTTTTTCGTACTTCTGTTAAAAAGTAACAAATTCACGAATTAATCTATAGTTTGCTCTATAAAAAAAGCGTTTTTTTGTTCAATTTGCATCTTTTTAAATGAATTTCGGTTGACTTTCAAGCAAATTCGAGAGTGAAAAACGCCTTTTTCGTAAAAATCTATAAAAAACTCTACGGAAAAATTGGCTGAATGAATTTCTCTGAAATTTTGGCGAAATATCAAACTTTTTTTTCTCTATCTTTTTATCGATTGACACGAAGATAGGTTTTCTTTAGCTAAGGTGTCTAAACCGCATCATCGAGTTAGCCCTTTTTGACTACCCGACTTCATACTCTCAAGAAAATCCAGGCATTAAATATTTTTAAACCCGTTTTAATGTTATTTTGCAGAAAAATAATTGCTTTTTCTAATGAAATCAACCGTAGTTTAATTCGTGCATTTGTTGGCTTGAAACGGCTGACGAAAAGGAACGAAAAGACTTATGCATCAACCTAATACATAATAGATGCAAGAAATCTGATAGGCTAGAATGTTTGCAGAGAACAAGTGTGCATCAACAACTAGCATCTATCTTAATCCTTAATGTTTAAAGAATAATCTGATGGATTTGATATTCAATGTGTTGAAATAATGTAAAGCTTCTTTTGTTTGTAAAGTTATTCAATTCTTCAATGAATCCTGAACTTTGACCTAAAATTTTCTGAGCTCAAAAATCTCCTACTCTTCCAAAAAGGAATCAAAAACTAAAAAATTTCAAAGAATCTTTTTAGGTTTTCCTTTTGAAAATGTTTACCCATTTGCTTTGGCGAAAGACGAAAAAAAGATCAAGTTACCCATTGAAAATTTCCTTATTCATTCCCATACTTGAAATCAGAAATTACAAGAATTGACTTTCTTTTAACGATGATTTATTTGTTTTTAGAAAAAGTGGGGAATTCCCAATGATTCTTAATGTTTTTTCAATTGAATGATCACCGAAATTTCACTTTTATTCACGATTTTTCGGGTCGGTGTCACTGCGGATTTGCTTGACGAATTTCGGTTGACAGGTTTTGTGAAAGCTTGCTAACAAGATTTTAATGTTTTGTAAAGTTGTCTGACTTTTTCTGTCTAGAAATTTTTTCCAAAAGACTCCGATCCGAGGCATCACTTATAGTCAGCTACTGTCTCTAACCTAGTTACAATAATAAAGTAAAGAAATGAATGGGAAAGAATTTGGAACCAAGAGGAGTTGCACCGTCGATCTTCTGCTTCGGGCAGATGCACCGCTGAGCTATGAGCGCCTTCTTTGCCCAAGAAGAAATAGGAAAGATAAGGAAGAGAAAGAAAGGAAGAGAAAGAAAGGAAGAAAGAAAGGAAGAAAGAGGAAGTAACTCAAGTAGTTGATACTTTTAATAAAGTAATATCAATTGATTTAAAGATAAGAGACGTAAAGCTCTAGATCTGTCAGGGATTAGGCTAACCAGGATTACGGTAGTTAAGATGGTAGATTGTCTATTTGAGTTCGAAAAAGCTGACAAATTGCTTAGCTTGAATCCCAATTAAATCACTTAGTTGCTAAGCAAAAATTTTCAACTAATCGATTGAACCGATTGAAATCGAAGCAATCGACTTTCAATTTCTCTTTCAGATTCTTACAAGACCTACTTCGATGTGACATCTCGTCTATTTAATGACAAATTCGTTAATGGTGGATATCGAAAAGAGATTTCGCCTATTTTTACTATCAAAGCGCTCAATGTGACCGGTAGGATCGTTGTTTTAAATGAAATTCTAGAGGTCTGGTAGGTCAGTTAAGTCTTAGCTTTGCTGCAGCCTGTAAACAAAAAAATAGCCTACAAAAATTCGTGGATCAAAAGCCAAGTCTTTCCTCTCCCAAGAGCTCGATTAGAACAGTAGATGTCACAGCCAACAAGGTTATTGGATATAATTTTCCATTAGCTTTTCATATATATAACACTTAATAAATTAAAGTTGAACTTGGCGCTTGTGAGCTAATCTCTTTTTTTCATTTCCACACATTTTCAGATCCAGTCCCACGATTCCCTGTCCAAATCACTTTTATCTACTTCCGACTTGTTCAACTTGTAAGTCATGAAAGCTTTTATTTATGTAAAAACTGTAAAAATAATTTTCAGGATGCTCAGGCTCAGCTCATGACTGCACTTGTGGAATTCAGCTATGTGAGTTTAAGAAATTCGAACTATTCATTTTGATGATCTTCCAGAAATGGCCAGATCTCCGACTTCAATGGAATCCGGCAGAATATTCGGGATTGGACACGATATGGCTGAAATATGACACTGTTTGGTTTCCCGAGAATGTCATCTCTGATACGTGAGTGAAAACAAGAAGAAAGAGGGTGCTGGATCGATTTGAAAATGTTAACACTTTGAAGAAAAGATTCGCTACAAAATAAAGTACAGACTTTTGTGTCAGAGTTCGAGTAAGATAGAGTTTTTAGAAAATTTCGGTTAAAGTAAAAGGGGGAATTTTTATGCAAACACTTTCCAGTCAAGAATTCATCATAATCAATCCGGAAGTGCAGCGAACTGTCCGACTATCGTCAAATGGAACCGTCGCCTACTATTTCTCTGGGAACACACGAGCCTCATGTCAAATGAATGTGGGTTGAATTGATGTCAGTGGTGTTCCAATGCTTTCAATATTTATGAGGAGTTTTAAGCTTGCACTGCTTCGTTTAACGACTTCGTTTCGTAATTGGTTTATGAAAAAAATTCGTTCAGAAAGCAGTGCATAAGAGTTGGAATAAACTCGACTTTCTTCTTTTTACAGTTTACTAAATTTGATCTTCCAAAAATCGATTCATCGATTCGATCACCAAATTTCACCAAAAGGAGTCAGAGCTCAGTTGTTCTTGTTCCCAGTTGGAATTCTCAGTTGTTCTTGTTTAACGATAAGAGTCTTCACTATTTAACAGTTTTCGAATCTACGAGACATTAAAAATGTTAGAATCACATTTCGGTTTTGATTCTTCCAAGAAAGCTTAGTTTGTGAAAAACTCAATTTATCTTAGGCACTTTCTCGCTTTTCCTCAAGTAGGCGCTTTCCACAGGTGTTTCTAGGCAAGCAACAACGCAAAAGGCAATAATTTTGAGAAAAAAGTAACGTAAAGTTGTTAACGTTGGGCGTATTGATAAGTGTGTTTCCTTTTTATCATTAAAATTGTACAAAATAAGCTCTAAATTTAGTAATCTACTGGTTCCCATCAATATTGAACACCCTTTATAAACTGGGCTAAATCAGGCTAAACGAGGACTTGTTTAGAAACAAAATCTAAGGACTTTTATTACCAGCATCTGGTATAGCCTTTTTATTTCACAGACACATTTCAAGCCAGAATTTGTCTTAACTCTTTATATAAAGTTCATTTGAAGCTAAAAATCCATTCACAGGTTCGAGTTTTTCCCTTTGACACACAAAAATGTGAGATCGGTTTCTCGGTGGAGACGTATGGAAGTGATTTCGTGACCGCCACTGGTGAAACGGCTTCCCATTTGGATGACTCGATTTATGATGTCACTTATTATGATATTTCGAACATTAAAGGCTTATTTTCTTTAGGGAAATGGTGAATGGGAAGTCCTGGATATTAAGCCATCAAAGAAGATTTACTCGAGCTACAATGCGAAAGAACAAGAATATGAATATGTGAGTGAATTGAAAGAAGTTATTAGGTTTAAAATGTTTTCTTTGAAAGCTAACATAACCTTTGTTTTGCCGTCCAGTTTCTATCAAATCTAGTTACTTAAAAGAAAAGATTTATCCACACAAATAATTTGGTGCAAACAATACACAAGTACAATGTAGGGAAGAAAAAAAACCCAAAAAAAGAGATAATAATCTAGTCCGGGATTGAACCATTGACCCCCCGACTAGGATATCCAACCTCTTATCTCTTATCGACTAGGATATCATGGCCATAATGGCTTTGGTCGGTTCTGTTGAGCTCCCAAATGATATCGAAAGTTCCAAAAAGGCAGAAAATGACAAGACTGCGATAGTTTTTGAAAGCGCATAATTTGAGTGAAACCCCTCAACCATTACGTGGAGTGCTTTTTAAAACGAAATCCAGCTACCAGCTACAGTTTATCCAGCGACAAAATCCAGCTACCGTTTATCTAGCTACAAAATCCTGCTACCGTTTTTCTTATTTAAATTTTTGAGCTAAAAAATCAGTGCTGACTTAAGAAACCGTGATTTTCAGATCAAATTCACATTGCATTTGAAGCGTCGCCCGCATTTCTACATCTACGTGATCGTTCTCCCTTGTTTCATGCTCACTCTTCTTTCAATCGTCGGAATGTTTTGGAATGCGCATATTAAAGAGGAAAAGCTTACAAAGGTATATTTTATGCTTAAAAATGTAGACGCACTTTTTCTGGTGCACTAAATTCTTTGACTAGCGCAAGAAAGGGTGTGTTTCGATTCTAGCAGAAAATAAATTTCAAAAATTTCAGCTGAGTATCGGGTTGACATCAATGATGTCGATGACTCTCTTGCTCGATATGATGGCTCAAGAAATACCCAAGAATGCAACTTTTCCGTTGTTAGGTGAGTTGATAAATTTGTCTCTGAAATCTCTGATCTTTTAGGGTTTTATGTGATTATTTCAATTGGAATTATTGCCCTTGGTTGTGCGGTTGTTGTGATTGTTTCGAGTCCGCAACCGAGATCGAGAGAAAAGTGGATTCTTAGAGCAAAAATGTTTCTTCTAAGGCATTTTCTAAAGCACACACCGATTTTAGAAAGTACCCTAGTTAGTGAACATTCGATCAGCTGAATTTTTTCTTGATTAAGCCTTGTGATATCTCATCGAATCATATCAAAACGGGGGGGCGAATAAAAGTTAACTCACTCTGGGTCTAGGGAGACCAGATGCGTTGTGGCGTAATGGTTAGCACGGTTGCGCCGGGGGCGAAAGGTCCCGGGTTCGAGTCCGGGATGCCCGCGAGTTTTGGTTTTTGGGCTTAGTTCCAAATTGAAAGCTAGCGGGTTGACTACGATAGCTTTTAAAGAGGTCTTTTAGCAAGTGCATTAATTAGAGTAACACATTTTTATCAAAACTTAAAGCAGAGATTCGCTCAATTTAGATTTTGGAGCGAAAAAGTGCGTCGCTATCTCTGTTCTCGTACTTTCGTTCTCCAATTCTTCTTCCAACTAATGAACATCATCAATTTCATCGTCTTGTTCTCATTTTGGCGGTGATAAATTGTTTAACACCTTTACATTATCTTTACAACAAGCAACCTAACGCAAAAGCCTATAATATAAGCATGAATCTATGCTATAAGAGATTCAAAACGGATTATGGTAGCCGGGGTATGCTTGAAAGCACCTACCAAAGTCAGTACTCTGAAAAAAGTGTTCAAAACTTAATAACTATCTTTTTTTTACTGCAATAGGCATCAAAATACGTAATTTTTTAATATCAAATCACAAAAACTTATCTAGCAATTAGACAATTTCTCAAAAATAATCAACTAAAAAGAATTCATTTTTTTCTTTCACCGAGCTATAATTAAATAAGATTTTGGTGAAAACAGGTGATTTTTGAGATGGAGAAAACTCTGAAGATATTCTTATTTCTTGAAAATTCTTGATCATGGCTGTTTACGAAAATCTCCTGACTGTTACTTTATTGGTGCTTGGATTTGTGGATCTGCTATTGGGATGTTTGACGGTGTTTATTGTAATCAAATATTCACCGACAAACTTTAAAATGTATCAGAGATTTCAAATCAATATTACGGTAAGTGAGGGGAAAATGAAAAGAGAAAATGAAGACTTGAGTATGCCAGAAGGCGTGTATTTTCATATTTTAGCACAAAACGCATTTAGTGCAATGAATGCTTATTTCTAAGCTTTTAAGTATATAAGGATTTCCCAAATATTAAGAAGTAAGGCCCTATCCTGGTGGTAATGAGAACGTATCGTTGTAGTTCATTCGTTTCGTAAAGCGGTTTAAGCGAGAGGTTGCGGGTTCGAATCCCGACGGCGACCATTCCTAACCCATAAAAGGATCGGCCTGTCCAACTTCATCTGACAATTAGGACCTGTAAGCGGACCGGACCAGATCAAACCAAGCCAGGCTAGTCCAGAAGCCAAGTCCAAGCCAACTCAGATCTAGGTACAATCTCCAGAGATGTATCAGGTCTTTGGAGCTTCAAGCCATGTCTAATCAGCCCAGAGCTAGGTCTGGCATGTATCCAAGTCCAGATACAACTTGTAATCAAGCAAGAGACAAGATTTTGGTTACAACCCAAATAAGTTTGCAACATTCAACTAGCAAAATATAGCTAGACTTAGATCTGCAAGCTCTTGCTGGGGGTCTAGCTTCTTCAGGTACTTTCTATATGTCTAACCTTGTTCTGGCACCTTTTTTTCTTTTGAAACTCGATCTGGTGGATAGATTTTATTGAACATTAGTAGAAATGAGTAGTAAAAAGTCATTTTTCAGATCACGATCACCATTTTCGATGTCGTCACCGCCCTCTTTGGTCCAATTTTCATCAATTCTCTTTCAGGGGTTTATCTCATCGGATTTTTTCGCCTCTCAACATATGGAACATACGTGTTTATGGTAAAAAAAGAAAGCAATTTGAGCTCTTTTCAAGATGCTTTATTGCAGATTTTCTTCTACATTTTGATGTGCCTTCAAAGCGGTGCATTGGTGATCGCTTTTACCGCCAAATTGTATTCTCTTCTCCCGATCGCTTATCGAGAAAAGCTGAAATCCGTCTTTTTGCTGTACATCGGTTCTTTTTACGGTCTGATACCGGTTGGGGTCACTTTTCTCTTTTATGTCTGGTCGACGGATTTCGAGAAATATTCACAATTGATGGTGAGTGAAGAAGTTGAGTGTCTGAGCTTGATTAGGATTAGCTTGAAGGAGTAGCTTGAAGGATTAGCTTGAAGGAGTAGCTTGAAGGATTAGCTGGAAGGATTAGCTTGAGGGATTAGCTTGAACAAAAGGATTAGCTTAAAACTTGATTGAAACCAAATCCTAAACAAAATGGCTATTAACAGTTGATTTTAGAAGTCAGGCAGCCAGGCTTTTAGAAAAAGCCAGGCAAAATGGCTTAAAGCCTGTAAACCAGTCTAGAGCTAACATGAAATAGCTAGAAATCTCTCCAGATTGATTTTCTAATGACTATTATATTAATGTACTATTGAATTTTGACGAAAATATCTAGAAATACTCAACGAAGTCACAGCCACTCATAGCCAATCTTTCTAGATCTCCCGTTTCCCTGATGAGGTTCCCCAAATGTGGATAAGCAGTGTGCTCATCGTTGACCCATTGAAACCTTTCTGGACTTTCTTCTTCATTCTCGGTCTTTATCAATTTGGTGGTGTTATTTGTATAATGATTCTTCAAATGATCATTATAACCTATCTTCTCAATACTCCACAGCCATTTCTCTCAAAGAAAACCATTCGAATGCAAGCACACACTTTTCGAGTCTTCGCTCTGCAGGTGAAACCTTTTCAAAGAAAGACCTCGTGATGGGTTTTGCGTAGACATGAGCGTCTATAAACATGAGCGTCTATAAACATGAGCCTCTATAAAAATGAGCGTCTATAAACATGAGCATCTATAAACTACAAACAGTCGTAACTTTCTTCCCGTTAAACATTTTTCTGTAAATTTTTTTACTAAAAGATAGCGAAACTCAAGAGCTTTCGAATGGTAATAAATTTGTGCAGTAATAACATAAACAGCACAAGAGTACGAAACACAACTCGCCGTCAAAAACAAAATGACGAGTTTGTAGTCTGACATTTCGTCATTTTGTAGTTTCTAGGCATCGTTATCTAGTTTTGGGGTTTGTTACAATAGTTTGATTTGTGTAAGTTTAATTAGAGTTTAAGAGTTCACTTCGTAAGCCATTGACCGAGAAGAACTCCCGTAATTATTGGCCATCTGGCACACCAAAAGTTCAAAGCCTTTGATTTATTTACCCAATTCGTTTTGATTGGAAATGGTTCAGTTACCCAATCCAGTTTCAAATCCAAACATTGTAAGCAAAGAAAAATTACAATCGCTTTCTTATTATGCCAAAAAATTTAAGCGATTGATAGTTTAAAGAAGAAATTTATGAAATTTTGAGTACAAGCTGTAGAACGCAGACGTAAAACTAATTAAGACATGTTTTTTTCAGTTTCTCACTGATGTCATCACTTTCGCCATCCCTTACATTTCCTATATTTTCGCTCAAATCATTCTTGTCGTTTTCGGCTGGTCTTGGGTGGCACAGGTGGAAAAATATGGTGAGGAGAAACTGGGAAATTGGGCTTCAACTATGAAATAACTTTCGAAAACAAAACTGTACTCTTGTCTCTCTTTTCTATCAAATCTAAACGTCAACTGAGTACAATAAAGCACAATCTGCAACGCAAACTTTAGCAATCCCGTGTCTATCAATCCTCTCGAATACCCATTCCGGGATCACCTCGCTTGTCGTCTTGACAACTTCACGCCCATATTTCGTCGCCGTTTCATCGATTCTCAAACTAAAGGTACCGCTTAATAAATAGACAATTTAAACATTTAAACTCAGATTCCAAAAGCTCGCCTCAATAAACTCACATCTTACGTCTACAACGAGAAAGTCTTCTTTGCGAGGAATCAAAATAAACCAAAGCCTAAACCAGAACCAGAAGCTAAAAAAGGATGACATAAAAAACTTGATTTTCTGTTTTCTAAATCCTGTTCTTGATACCGTACACACAGCGAGCTTCTTTAGAGAGCAGAAACATGGCAGAAACGTTTTTGCAGTTCACCAAAATAGATATAAATTTCGGCTTTTCAATGGAGGTGAGGAAAAAATGGGCAATTGGAAAAAATGGACAATGCTCCAGCTACCGTAACCCATCTAAAGTATCATAGCTTTAGTCTTTTATAGATTTTTGCATTTCTCAAATTGCATAATTCCTACCTACCGTAAATACTGTAATAGTACCCCACCCCCCATAATGACGATGCGGAGTGTTGCGTAGTCTAGCTTTGAACGAGTTTTTCTCGACACTGGTTTATGCTACAATGCGGGCTCTGCTACAATACAATAGAGTCTGTAAGCGATGCCAGCTCTAAAGCAGGTCAGAGGTCTAGGTCAGAGAGCCAACGCCGATCCAGTGCTTTTGTGGTGTGGGCCAAATTGAGCCAGGAGAAGGCTAGCTTCTGAGCAGGTATCTCCAGCTAGATCTCAGTGCTTATAAGCTAAATCAGAGCTAGGGGAGAGCCAAGTTAACCTACCGTAAATGCTGTAATAGTACCCCACCCCCATAATGACGGTGCGGAGCGTTGCGTAGTCTAGCTTTGAACGAGTTTTTCTCGACCCTGGTTTGTGCTACAAGGCTCGCTTAGGTATCAAAAAATAGCCCTGAATTTCAGCTATTTTTTGATACCAAAGACGCATTTTTGAAAGTACGGACGCTTTGAAAAAGCTTGAAATACTAAAAAACTTTTACGACTACGCGACTGTACGGAAGGGGTGGGGTACTATTACAGTATTTACGGTAATTTACGGTAGTCAAGGTAGTAACAACCGGTAACTTTTAAATCTACTAACTGTAACGAATTATGGTATCTAGGCCACCATGCCCAAATTCCTAGGATCAATTCACCTCAGATTCGGCTGTATTTTTGCTAAAATGTTAATAATTTTGAAAGAAAATTGAATAAATTACGTGTTGGAAGCCTCCAAATACAAGCATCAGGTGAACGAACAAAAGAAGAACTGTTCGAGTAGAAATAAATATAAAAAGAAATTAGATTTGAAATATTCCAACTTTGGCATTACCTAGAATATCAATTGTAATGCTGAAGCATTTTTATAAAACCATATTTTCCATATTGCATTATCTGGAGGAGATGTGAAGGACAAATCTCTTTCCCTTCCAACTCCACCATTCGTCTTTTTGCACCTAGGAATAGGCTAAATTCGAATAGCCAAATCGGATGAATTAAAAAGAAAAGAATGGCCTAACTTCAAATCTTCTGTTTACATCTATCCATTATCAGTTTTTTGATCAGAGAACGGGGGGGAAAGCTATCAAAAACAAGGAGGAACTGAAAAATGCCTGTAAAAAGGAACGGTTCAGGAATTTGAAAGCTTTTCACGGATAGCTTTTCACCCAGATTTTCGAGAAGAACCCAAATTTCTGCCAGTTCAACAGTCCTCAGGTGGACTTTAACTACTCTAGCATCAATCTTTCAAATATTGTCAATACTAGAACATAGAACTTAAAAATTCTATGTACAAAGTTGCATTCTCTGATTCTCACACAAATTTTACTGTAACCTATGAAGGAAAAGCGCTTGGAATCACTTTAACTCTATCTTCTCAACGAAGAGTTGAGAAGATCATCAAAATATAATACAATCACTTTTTAATAAATAGTTTCTTTTGTTTTTCTACAAACTGTAAAAAAGTGCGACTTTAGAAGGCAATCATCAGACTCAAACCTTCAATCTTCTTGAATACACGAAAATTATCAATAAATCTTTGTAATTTTTACCATAAAAACTTTGACTTTTAGTCAAATAGTCCTTTTTTAGCTTTTAAATGAATTTCTAATCTATTGCAATACAGTATTTAATTACTCAAACAGGTGCATCTTATCGATCACGACGGAGAAAAACTCAACCAACAAAGTCAGAGATTTGATCGACTTCTTAAATCCTTGTTCTCAAATGCAAAACATCACAAGTCGAAATTATTTCCTGGCTAACGCCTACTTGTTCATTTCACTTTTTGATCTAACTATGGGGCTTTTTGCCGCTTTCATCATTTACGCCTATTCACCGATGATTTTCAAAACGTTCAAAGCAATACAACTCAATATTACGGTAACCCAAGACTCGATAACATGTTAGCCGTTTGAAGAGAAAAGATCCACAGTTCAGAAACAGAAACAACAACATAAGCTGGACAAGCTACAGGATTTTCAGTATTTACGGCAACTTCTTTAGAGATTAGCTCACAAACGCTAAGTTCAACTTTAATTTATTAAGTGTTATATATAAAGCCCTTAATCTTGTCTACATTTATCTATTTAAAGTTTCCCGATTGGAGATATTTTTCTGAAAATTTATTATAATGAAAATTGCCAAAAATAGCAACTTGAGGGATCAACTAGTACTCGTTCAAGGGCTTGTAAAATGAGTTGTAGATCTCCAATCGGGGAAATTTTAAGAGCAAAATGTAGCCTAGATTAAGGGCTTCAATATTTTATACAACACTTAACACACTAGGGTTGAACTTGGCGCTTGGCAGCTAAGAAGCAGTCGCCGTAAATACAGAACACCTTGTAGAAATGGTATTCGATTACCTGGTCACATTGGATCGGATCGTCTTCAAGGATCCCTTAAATCCAATCCGACCATCGAATCGAATAAGATTCAATCGACAAACTTGTATCGATATCGATAGTATACAGAGTACTCAGCACTGTTAAAGTAAGGTAATTTTTAGAGAACAAAGTAACAAACCAGGGTTGGGATGGGATAAGTACAAACGCCAGGAAAGGGCTTGGTACATACCGTACATACTGTAATAGTACCCCACCTCCCACGTACAGTCGCGTAGTCGCAAAAGTTTTTTAGTATTTCATTTTTTTTCAAAGCGTCCGTACTTTCAAAAAATGCGTCTTTGGTATGAAAAAATAGCTGAAATTCAGGGCTATTTTTTTGATACCTAAGCGCACATTGTAGCATAAACCAGGGTCGAGAAAAACTCGTTCAAAGCTAGACTACGCAACGCTCCGCACCGTCATTATGGGGGTGGGGTACTATTACAGCATTTACGGTAGGTATTTAGCGACTCTGGTGGACGGAATTTTGAATGAACAAGCGGAAATTTACATTCGATTTCGATTGTGGTATTCGATTACCTGGTAACATTGGATCGGATCGTATTCAAGGATCCCTTAGATCCAATCCGACCATCGAATAAGATTCAATCGACAAACTTGTATCGATATCGATAGTGTATCTAAGCGCGTATTGTAGCATAAACCAGGGTCGAGAAAAACGCGTTCAAAGCTAGACTACGCAACACTCCGCACCGTCATTATGGGGGTGGGGTACTATTGGGTTGGGGAGAATGAGTCGGCGCCGAAAATGAAAAAAAATGTCTAAAACTTCAATTCGACTTCGTCAAATAATATGCGTTTGATACTCATAGAATGGTTAACTAATTCTCTACAAAATCACATTTAAAAGAAAATTCAAACAGCGCCTCCGCTCAAGAAAAAGCCATTTTTTCACAAAAACTACAAACTGTGATCTAGAAAAAACCATTGGTGGGATCTTCCTGCAAATTTGGCAACTTAAGTAATTCAATGTGCTCTATCTTTTTTATATAAACACCAAAGAAGGTTTATGTGAAAGAAACTGTTCAAATGATGAGTCGGACTCTTTGCCATTTTAACCAGCTGCGTTTCGAAGTTCATAAACTCCACGAAAGAAAAGCTTTGTGGAATCTCTCAAAAGTCATTTTGTAGAGAAATAGTGGATCCTTTTGATGAAACCAAACGTATGTTTAAAGAAGGCTTTATGTGTGCAAAAAGTCCCTTTAAAGTTTGGCGCCGACTCATTCTCCCCAACCCAATATTACAGTATTTACGGTATGTCTTTTTTTGCCGCCAATCCTTGCGGTGCAAGATTTGTAAATGTTTGTGTCAAATTTTCAAATAAACTTTGCAGCTTGATTTACATTTAAAAATGAAAATGACGTCATTACGTACTTGTGACCACTTTACATTAGCTAGATGAATTTGCATTTGAGTATGGCCTCCAAGAAAGTCACAAATACCAAAGGCTTGCATAGGGTCTAAGGGTCTTAAAACTTGACACAGTACCTTTGTTATTATGCAGTAATTTCAGAGTAATTTTGGCGAACGGTTTACTGTAATAATATCTTAGTCTAGTTTCTTAAGTCTTTGGATTGAACCGTTCATTCGTGTTCAAGCATCTGTCAAGCATATCCCTCTGACAATGAGATATCAAAGAATCTAACAATATTTAAGTATATTTTCTAAATATACAAGTGAACTTATAATCTGTAGCTTTCAATTTTCGGTAACGATGACGATTTTCGATGCATTTACTGGATGGTTTGCCCCGATCCTCGTCCATTCCCAAGCCGGTCTCTACCTAGTCGGATATTTACGTCTTGGACCTCATGGAACACATTATTTTCTTGTGAGCATAGATATTAAAGATTGAATCGAAATTTGAGAATTGTAGAGTCGAATTTACAGATCATTTTCTACACTCTGATGGCCATTCAGGGTGGAGCGATTGGGGCGGCGTTTACCCTCAAATTCTACGCCCTCGCTCCACCAAATCATCAACGATCAATCCATTTGCTTTGTATTCTTTATATCATTTCAATTTATTCCACCATTCCGATATGTGTCACCTTTTTGTATTTAGCGTACGATCGACAAATGGAAGAATACTTCTGGGAAACGGTTAGTTGCCGATAGTGAAACAAGAAAAGAAAACAAGAAAGAAAAACAATGACACAAGTAAAATGATGAGTGCACTAGAAAGGATGTGTTTTCATTTTTGAGCGCAAAGTATACACTGAAGATTTTGTACTTTCTGTTAGACAGTGTAAACACAGCTTTTCTAGCGCACTAGACTTCAGGCATTTTACCGGAGACGCTAGGACTCCATGCGCCAATGGATTTTCTAAAAGATATCTATTTTTGGCTACCGTAATCAAGCTACCAGTTTTGATGTCATTTGATGAAGAAATGAGACCAAAATTTGGCTGATCGGATGAAAGCTGATGGTTCGATTACGGTAGTTTTCGAAAATACCGTATTTTCTCTAATAGTAGTGCACCCTGAGCGTCGCCTAAATTGCTCGAAATCTCGAAAAGCGCTTATCAGAACCTATCGATGTGGGGTCGGAAAATGTAGCTGACGATGAGATCTTTTGGGAGATTTGAGTGTTGAGCTTCTGCGAAAGCTTGGAAACTGTAAAATCGTCATCAACTCGGCTCGCCGGGGTGCACTACTATTAGAGAAAATACGGTAATTTGGAAATTTCACTCTCTCTCTATAACGGAACGGATGGAAGGGATCAAAAAAATTTTTTCCGTTATATAGAGTACCGTCTTCTATAGCTTAGCGTCGGTCAGGACCAACATTCAATTCCGTTAGAGTTTTCCGATATATAGAGTTCCGTTCTAGAGAGAGTCAACTGTAAATTTGAAGAGCTGAGAGCTTAGCTCAGCTAATCAGGTCAGCGTGAATTTATGAGAGTCAAAAGTTATAAAAAACAACGTGAATACAGTATTTTCTCTAATTGTAGTGCACCCTGAGCGTCGCCTAAATTGATCGAAATCTCGAGAACCGCTTATCAGAACCTATCGATGTGGGGTCGGAAAATGTAGCTGACAATAAGCTCTTGTGGGGGATTTGAGCGTTGAGCTTCTGTGAAAATTTCGAAACCGTAAAATAGTCACCAACTCAGCCCGGCGGGGTGCACTACTATTAGAGAGAATACGGTAAGTGCCTTTTAGCACTCCAGGTACCGTAGCTACCGTCTCTTTACCAGAATTCGATTACCATATTATTTCCAGATCACCGCCAACCCTGGAATCATTCCAATTGAATGGATCGACAGTGCGATTCTCTACAATATCTCCTCAAATTCTTACATGATTATCGGCGTCGCTGTGTTTATCTATGAATTCTATATCACCGCAATATTGTTGATCATTGAAATGATTTGCATCACTTACCTCCTAAATTTCTCGCAAATGACCCTTTCGAGGAAAACGATTCAAATGCAGAAACAGACGTTTCGCATTCTTGTCATACAGGTGCTTTTGAAAGCTCAAATTTCTCGAGAACTTGGGTTAAACTAATTAAATATTCAATAAATTGAGAAAAATTGATAAAAATTTCATTTCTTGTACTGAAGTTTACTTGAAATCTGCCGCGTAACCATTCCAAATAGGTGTTTCAGGCGAATCTTTGCATCTGCAAGTTTGATCTCTGGATCTTTGAATCTGTAAGTCTGTAAGCCAAAGCTCAGCCACATCCAGATACTCTTATTGGTCAATTTCAAAAGCTGACCTATCTTTGCTTTTAGTAAAGTCAGACCATTTAATAGCCAAAGCTAAGGGCAAAACTAGACAGCGAAACCCAGAATCTGACCAACATCTGGATATCTTTGAATAAACTTTTTCAAAAAGTACCTACATCTGAAAATATCCTTTTTTATAATAAACGAATTTATAATTTTTTTAATACTGAAACTATCCAGCTTTAATCTATTGGCTCTTCCAGTTTATCACAGTTGGTTTCATCTTCGGACTCCCATACATCACTTATGGACTAGCTCGCATCTTCATCGCCTTTGGGGCTCTCTGGGTTGAGATGATCGAGAAATTCGGTTTGATTTGTTGTTAGAAATTGACTTTGACCTTTTGACTAGTCTAATCTTTGAACAAGCCTCGAATTCTCCTTTAAGCTTAATCCAAATCTAGCCATTCCAATCTTGGGCATCATTTCGTGTGCCCATTCGGGAATCACATCGATCCTCCTTTTACTCACAACAACTCCATATCGGCAAGCTGTGAATAAAATTTTTCGAGTGAATGTGGGTTTCATTGTTTTAAGTTAAACGTTAAACCTTAAATCAAAATTAAAAAAGACCTGACAATTAGAAGCTGCTCATTTTTTTTGTAAGACAAAAGTGTTTAAGAGTCCGGTGTTTACCCAATAGAATTGTTCTAAAGATAATTTAACTGGACCAGGCCTAGGCCAGAAGTCAGGTTCTGAGGCCGTATGCTTTTCTCTAGCTAGTTTCCCACAGGATCTTGGAACAGAACAGAACACTGAGCTTGTTGAAAGTTGATGGTTAAAATCTTGTTGTCTAAGTCAGATATTTAGGTCAGACAGCTTTGTTTAAGATAATTAAAGCTTGTAAAAGTAAATGAATACAAAAAACGATCGGCATCTATTTATTGCTGTCAAAAATTGTGACTAATCCAGTTTCAGTATCCCACTTCAACATTGGTGATTTCCTTGCCGCGTGAGCCAAGTGAGCGTTCGATTGCCCCTCGATAAGGATAAAACTGGAAAACTAGCTTTTCTTTAAATTTATCAATAAATTTTTTATCAAAATTTCAAACTTAATTATCTTTATGCACTCAAAAGAATGAAACTACAGGGTGCCCAATAATGACGGTATTAATCTGTATTAATCAGCTATTATGCGTCTAGTTTTTTCGTTAATTATGTTTTTTTAATGTTTTCTATTAGTTATGATGTTTTGCAATATAATTTTATAGTATTTTTGTCATATTTTAGGAGAAAAAAGCAACGGTCATTAGAAAAGTCAACATCAAGAGGATCCGCGAACGAGTGCGACATAACATCGAGATTCGATCATCCATCTTCATCGCAAAGGAGTCCGACAAATCGAAATTGCTCGTCGACTATTGATTGATAGAAATTTGGTTTTGAAAACGATTGACCGATATAAATCTTTGGGATCAAATTCGAATCGTCCAGGGTGTGGCAAAGCAACGGTCATTACAAAAGTCAACATCAAGAGGATCCACGAACGAGTGCGACATAACAACAAGCAGCAAAAAGCGACTTCCCAGCGAAAAATGGCAAATTCGATGGGGATTTCAAAGGAACCGATAGGCACAATTGTTAAGAAAAATCTGAAAATGAAAGCTTATAAGTACTCGAAATGTCAGCTTCTTTCCGCTGTGGGAAAAAAAGAAGCAAGAAGCTCGCGCAAACCGGCTTCTTCGATTCAATGAGACCGATCACCCAAACATTTTGTTTACCGATGAAAATGTGTTTACGATTGAGCAATTTGTGAACAAAAAGAACGACAGGATTTATGCCAAGTCCCAGCCAAATGCTTCTGTTACGCGAACTGGATATCTAAAGTCGGTCATGGTGTTTTCGGGCATTACCTCTGATGGAAAGACGCCGCTTATCTTCGTGGATCAAGGTATCAAGATCAACGCCAACAATTATCACGATATTTTGAAGAAAGAGGTTCTCCCGTGGGCTCAAAATCATTTTGGCAATCGTGTTTGGTGCTTCCAAGAGGATGGCACGCCAGCACACAAAGCTCGAGTTGTTCAGGATTGGTGTCAGCAAAATTTCCCCGATTTCATCACTTTCAACCAATGGCCTCCATCAAGCCCAGAATTGAATCCTTTGGATTACAGTGTTTGGTCTGTTTTGGAGCTTGCAAAAAAGCCCATTCCACAGTCGATTTTTTGAAGAGATGATTGCAAAAGGCATGGGATGAGCTGGATGTTCCATACCTATCTGCTACCATTGATATCATCAAAGATGGACGGGGCTTCAAGTTCATCCCAGGCTTTCAGAAGACTTTTCCTCAAACTTTCAACATTTTTATGCGGCTTTGAGCAGGCTTTTGCCTCAAGGACGTACCAGACAATTTTTCTATCATTTACCCAAAATATTCCACAGAATACAGGAAATTCCACAGGATGGATTGTGTTATTTATTGGGTTGGGGAGAATGAGTCGGCGCCGAAAATCAAAGAAATTTCTAAAACTTATAGCAGACTTTGTCAAATGATATGCGTTTGATATCCGTAGAAGGGTAACTAATTCTCTACAAAATAATATTTAAAAGAGAACTCAAACAGCGCCTCAACTCAACAAAGGATCATTTTTTTCACAAAATCGATAAACTGTCATCTAGAGTAAACGGTTGGAGGGATCTTCCTGAAAATTTGGTAACTTATGTAATTGAGTATGCTCTATCTTTTTTTATATAAACACCAAAGGAGGTTTATGTGGAAGAAACTGTTCAAGCAATGAGTCGGACTTTTTGTCATTTTGATTAGCTGTGTTTGGGAATCCATAAAATCCCAAAAAAGAAAAGCTTTGTGAAATCTCTCTCAAAAGCCATTTTGTAAAGAAATAGTGGACCATTTTGATGAAACAAAACGTGTATTTAAAGAAGGTTTTATGGGTGCAAAAAAGTTTCTTTAAATTTCGGCGCCGACTCATTCTCCCCAACCCAATATTTCAACGATGAATTTAAACTGGAAATCATAAATCTCAAAGTCGCTGGCTTTCTTAAACGGGGAGTTACCGAAAAAGCTATTTGACAATTGTAGAAAGCAATTCGTTCCTTGAAATATTTGAGAGCCGGCGAGCTGGGTGAACATTCAGAAAAAGAGTAAGCATCATCGAGTTCATCCGAAGCTTTCAGAAGACTTTTCTTCAAACTTTCAACATTTTTATACGGTTTTGAGCAAGCTTTAACTTCAAGGACGGGCCAGATAGGATAATCCATCAGATTCCATCAGATTCCCAAAGTGCCTTCAGGCTTGTATTGCCGCGAAAGGAGAAAGTGTTTGAGAAAAAGTTATTTGTTTAGTTACAAAGTTATTAACGAGTAAATCATTATCGTTTTTACTTTTAATAACTTTAAGACTATATGTGCTTTAAATCAGCGAATTTCTTTGTTGCTGTAATTATTGGGCACCCTGTATACTGTAAATGATTGGGTAAAGACAGGTGTTTTTGAAGGAGAAAGTTTCAAGCTTGGAAAAGCTATTGTTTAATGAAATTATAGCCACTTCTAGTACTGCCATAGATTCAAAGTTTAAGCTTTCAAAAATGAACTCAACGCATCCAATGCTGGCAAACATTTTCCTTTCATTGGCCCTCTTTGATGTGATCGTGGCGCTTTTGGCCATCTACATTGTCTCTTTCCATTCACCGCCAATTTTGAGAACCTTTCGAATAGTTCAGCTAAATATTACGGTAACCTATTTAATTATCTCACTTTTTTAAAAATGTCTTTAAAGTTACTCTACTCGATTTTTTGCCTTCTAGAGCTACAGTATCCCTTGTAGGGGTATTGTAGCTCTAAAAATATTGTAGGGATATTGTAGCTCTAGAAAGGAAACAAGGGCACGGTAACTGAAAGCTGGGAAGAGCACGGTATCTATCCCTGGTGATCACCAAGATACGTATCCAGGGATAGATACCGTACTCTTCTCAGCTTTCATTTACCGTACCCTTGTTTCCTTTCTAGAGCTACAATATCCCTTGCAGATCACTAAACAAATTCACGAGTTAATCGAAACTTTAGAGTACGGTAAAGTTCCAAAGAGCTAATCTTTTAGAAAAGGAATATTGACTGAAGCCATTACTATAGATTTGAAAACCAAATAGAAAATTAAACATTTTTTTCAGAAATTCGATCTATTCACATTTTCAAAGCCAACTTTAGATCTCGATGACGTTTTTCGAGGTCTACGGTGGCATCTTTGGTCCAATCTTTGCCTACACCCAAACGGGTATTTATCTAGTCGGATATTTGAGAGTTGGAGTCATCGGAACACACATTTTCTTTGTAAGTTGAAAATGAGAAAGTGTATTATCAATTTTTCAGATATTCTTCTACGTTCTCTTGTCGATTCAAGGAGGTGCAATCGGATTGGCGTTTACAATGAAATTGTACTCGCTCGCGTCAACTTTTCACCGAAAATTGATGAAAGGGCTTTGTTTTGGGTGGCTGGTCGCATATTATGGAATGATTCCCATTTGTGCGACTCTTTTATTTTCAGCGATCGATCAAAAGATGATTGATACGTCGAAAGCATTGGTAGGAAGTTATGGATTTTACCGATTTTAATACCAAGCTTGCCAAGATAAAGTACTACTTTGAATACTTCAAAAATGATCGCTTTTTTAAAGCACCGATGAGGGTAAAGTACGATAAATTCTTGATATTATATGATAGAAAATTGAACTTCAATCTAACATTTACCTTTTCCCGTTTAGTCAGTCAAACTTTCACTTTCCCCCTTATATTAGGTTGATGCAAAAGTCTTTTTCATTTTTTTCATACTTCTGTTAAAAAGTAACAAATTCACCAATTAATCTATAGTTTGCTCTAAATAAAAAGTGTTTATTGTTCAATTTCCCATCTTTTTGAGTCAATTTGGGTTCACTTTCAAGCAAATTTGAGAGTGAAAAACGCCTTTTTCGTAAAAATCTATAAAAAACTCTACGGAAAAATTGGCTGAATGAATTTCTCTGAAATTTTGGCGAAATATCAAACGTTTTTTTTCTCTATCTTTTATCTATTGACACGAAGATAGGTTTTCTTTAGCTAAGGTGTCTAAACCGCATCATCGAGTTAGCCCTTTTTGACTACCCGACTTCATACTCTCAAGAAAATCCAGGCATTAAATATTTTTAAACCCGTTTTAATGTTATTTTGCAGAAAAATAATTGCTTTTTCTAATGAAATCAACCGTAGTTTAATTCGTGCATTTGTTGGCTTGAAACGGCAGACGAAAAAAATGAAAAAGACTTTTGCATCAACCTAATATTTGAGGGTTACGGTACTTAAGATTCGAATCCATTTCTCAATTCTTTATTTAGTTCTTTTCGAAAATTCGGTTCTTTTGCCAAAATCCGAGTCTTTTCATTGTGAAAAACTATCAAAATAAAACGAAAAACAAAACCCAAACCAATTCGATTCTCTTGGGACTTTTCTTGGGACAAAGGGTTAAGATAAACTCCTCCAATAGGTTCTACGACCCTGAAAACCCCGGGGCACAAATTTTTAACATTAAATCTCATTTGGAAATCATTTACAGAAAAGAAAAAAAGAAAAATCACTGTGTAAAGTTACTGGCGGGGTGTTCTTTGTGCGGCGGTGTAATCGCTCGCAACCTGGAATACACCCTTGATAGATAGGTGTCCCCTTTTGGTTTTCGTAAAGGGAAGGGAGCCTGAGCCTTTTGCTGTCATTATGCCCAAAATGCTTGGATCGATTTTACCCCAAATTTAGCCGTATTACTGCTACGAAGTCAACAATACTAAACCAAAACTATCCGAGCCGTTCAAGGTTGAACCTGACCCGAAAAACTCATTTAATACCCGAAAACATCGCATTAGATGGTATATTATTGATAAACCGATTTACTTGAATCATTTCTTCTTTATTTTTGCTACAAATTCGCCTTTCTGCTAAAAAAAGTCACCAGTGAGGCCAAAATGAGGTCCCACGTGGTCATACAAGTACTTTCACTACCCTAGCACTAGTACTAACAGAGCCAGGTACAATATAAAACTGGTATACAATACAAAATACATAGATGGATTAAAACAATGACTTCTAGTTAGCCGCAAATCCCCTGGATGTTCCCATGGAATGGAGGGACAGCGCAATCATCTATGACATGGCCGATTCCCTCATTTTATCGGCGTCAATCATTTTCAATCTCCAATTTTCGATCATGGCGTTTTTGATTTGTGTGGAGGTGATGATGATCACTCTTCTCCTCCATTTACCCCAACCATCACTCTCCGCGAGAACGATTCGAATGCAGAAACAAACGTTTCGCATCTTGGCTCTTCAAGTTTTGAAATTTTCTTTATTCAATTCCAATTTCAAATCTTTCAGTTTCTTGTACTCATTGGTGCTTACGGTACTTTCTATAGTCTTTATCTGTTATCAAGATGGTCTTTGCTGATTGGATGGAGTTGGGCGGCGATCATTCAGAGAATTTGTGAGTTCTTGTAAATAGTCGTATTTTGATTATTAACATAACAAACGCTTGTTATTGAAGATATTGAAGATATTGAACAAAACACCTGTCACCTGTCTTTTCTTGAAACACCTGTCTTTTTTTTGTCTGACCATTTCCAAGGAAACATAACATTTTTGATTATTGATCTCCTCAATTATGTATTTTCTAAAAAATGAGAGCTTTCTTGACTTTAACTTTAGCTATAGTTTCAATCCAATCTAGATAGATATCTCTATATAGATATAGAGATAGACTTTTGTACCTTTCGATATCTTTTGTGAACTATCATAGAATCAGAGCAAGAGTAGCTAGATTGGCTAAAACGCAGAGACAAGATTACGATAGTCAAAAAAACTGACATCTTTTAGGAAATACAATAGAAGTTATGGACCAGAAAAGACTCATTCTCAGTCTTTTTATGCCCAACAATAGGAGAAAGCTTAAAGCTAAAACATAATTGATTTGAAATCTTTAGTATCCCCATATGGAAACCTTCTCTCAACAGCCCATTCCGGTCTCACTTCAATCGTCCTTCTCACCACAACAAACTCATATCGAAAGGCGTTAATTGGGATTTTTGTCGCCAAAAAGACGGTAATCTTTAAAATATAATCGATTTTATGACAACAAAAATTCATAGACAAGGTAACAGATTCAAACTAAAGTTGAAAAGAAAAGAAGAAAAGAAAATCACAGTGTAAAGTGACTGGCAAAGTGTTCTTTGTGCGACCGCGCATTCTCTCGCAACCTGGCACACGCTCCCGATAGATAGCTGTTTCCTTTTAGAAATCGTAAAGGGAAAGGAGAGGTGGGTGACTTTACAATCGGTAAAGGGGTGAGCGACTGATTGGGTTTTTGCTGTTTTGGGCTCACTATGCCCAAATTCTTGGGAGCTTTTCTGCCCTAAATTTGGCAAATCCTTGCTACAAATTCGTCATCCTGCTAAATCAAAGTACAAAAATATACAAAGATAAACTGAACTGATGAATAAGATTCGAAATGGAAACAGAACAGGACTTGAATGCTTTGAATTCAAGGAGTTGCCTTGCATTCAAGGAATTCAAGGCAACTCCTTAAATCCTTGTCGAGAAAAGGGAAAGATGTTGATTTGCTATGCTAAATCATGAAAAATGACGAATCGAGTAAGTCAGATGGTGTATTTATATGTTTGTACAAGTACAACCTTCACAAAGCAAGTTTCCAGCCGACTCTCCGCACTCGTGCCAACTCAATCTTCATCGCTGATATGATCAGAAGAACCTCCTCAAAAGCAGTCATTTAAAAAAAGTTTTATTCTTTAATCTTTCAAAAATCCAAGCTTTCATAAATATATGTGCAAATAGTTGAAATGTTCATTGAGTTTCCCGTTGTTTTCTTCGGATCTCATTCGCTTGCAGTTTCGCCAATTCAGGAGCTGCCTCTCTCCTGAAAAAAGTTATTAAAAAAGTGATTAAAAAAAGTGATTAAAAAAAGTGATTAAAAAAAGCCTGTTTTAGTTTTAGTTTTAACTGAAAAATATCTCTTTTTTATACCAAAAATTGTAATTTTCAGCTGAAAATTGTTTGTGCTCGATTCGATCGAAAGTGATTCGCAATACGACCCAGTTTGCGCGAGTGAATTTCGGATGTGATTGAAGGTGACTGCAAATTGAAATAGCATTGAAATAACATTGAAATAAAAATGACAATTTGAAATCAATTTGCAATCAATTTCCTCTATAATCGATCAAAAATCGAGATAAATCTAAAGATTTGAAGGATTCTTTTCCCTTTACTCACCCATTCGCCACGAATTCGGAGATAACGTCGGCAAGTCGATCGGCAAACGCTTTCCCGAAGCTCAGCTCTTCCCAACTGAAAAAAGGATCAGATTAAATGATTATTTAGTTGAAAACGTCTGTGATTACGGTAAGATTCAGCGAAATTAAAGCCGATTTCTTACTTATATTGTCCAAATGGTGCGTAGAAAGCCCTCGAGTCGAATAGCATCGCCAAATCGGTTCCATGATCGGTACCCCATTTTCCGTCGGGTCCGGCTGAAATTTGATTAACATTAACATGATCTAATTCTACATTTAAAGCCAAGATATAGATCAAAGCCTCTAAAAGAAACCATTTGGATGTCCGTAAATATTATTGAGAAGTGTGTAGACGTTTTGCCCTTTATCAGCATAGTGAAGAGCCTCGTGTTGTGTGTCGGCCACCCAATCGTCTGGAAATTTGATTTTCGAATTCAAAAATAGAAACACACCCTTTCTAGCGTATGCAGGTTTCATTTTCTCTTAAGAAAAATGGAGATCAGTGCGCTAGAAGGGGTACGATTTGAGCACAAAGTACACTCAAGCTAACCAAGCACAATTTACAGTAAAGCAAAAACTATAGTGTTTGGCCTTAAGACTACTGTAGCGATCATATTTGTAGATGCATTTTGAGTCTCTCAAAAGACACCCGTAAAAGGCGATACCTTTTTTGAAAAAATTGCCGACAAAAATGTGTCAAAAATGGCAGATCGCTGGAGAGAGGGCTTGAGCTCATTCAAGAGCATATAAAATGAGTTATATCATTCCAATCGGAAAGTTCTTTATAGATAAATGATGCCAAGATTAAGGGCTTTAATTTCTCTATATAACACTTGGCACTTTGGTAATGAGTCAGGCGTTTGTCAGCAACTTTTCCAAATCACTTCCACAAACCCTCGGTGAATGTGAGCAATCTCGATGTGCGGCGTGCTTTATCTGTTTCATGAATCGGGTTCAACGGGTGGTACCTAGAAAAACTATGTAACAAAGAGAAGATATTTACTCTAAAGAAAAACTTTTTCTGCTCACAAACCAGTCATCAAAGAGATCTTTCACATAGGTCGAGTTGCCGAATCGAGCCTCGACAATCCCGTCGACCCATTCTTTCAACGGGATCGGTAGACCGGCTGAATATCAATTAAAATTACATTGGATTCATTTACTTTTTGATATCTATCTTAAAGAAAGATAGCTAGTAAATAGCATTAAACCCTACCAATTTTTCCGCAATTGAACAAGCGCTCATGAGCCGCGTTGCTGAAGAGCGCTCTGACACGAGCGTTTTGTCTAGATTTTCATTTAAAGCATATTAAAAAATGTGTCGCTTTAAATGAAAAACTTTTGTCGTTTAAATAAATCAAATTCAAAGTAAATGTCGACAAATGACAGTACTTGACTTGTTCCTCCGGTTCTCCACCCAAAACAGCATCCCATCCACGATATGAATCGATGACTGGAGTGAATGGGGAAAGGCCCATTCGATGAGCCTCGTACATTGTCTAGATAAAATATAGAAAAATCTTTACAATTTTGAGAAATTTTGCAAATAATCTAAGAAAGAAATCGGAAATGAACGATTGACGATTGATTAGAGTTAAATCCACTCAATCCTGTCATTTTGCAAACCTTTTCAAAGGACTTGGGAGCTCTAAAGCACGCCCAAGCTACTGTAACTTGGCCTAAGTCGCCACGATAACTCACTTGTTGTTAGGGCTAGTACAAGGCTCAATAGTTGACTACCTGTATAGTAGAACAAGGCTCAATAGTTGACTTACTGTACGGTAGTCAACCCCGAGCCGGGATTTGATAAAGTTTGCAAAGTATTGACGATTAGAGTTAAATCCCGTCTTTCCCTCTTTTCTAAGTGATGCCCCAAATACCGTAGCCCTTTTTCGCCATTTTATTTCCCCTTTCTTTTCCGAGAGTTTCGATTGGCGTTTCTTTCTGTGTCATTGATTTTCTTTCGATTTTCTTTCGTTTCTTCAACGCATTTTCTTTGCCTTTCTTTTGTATTTACGTCGCCAAACAACTTTTGTATTTACGTCGGCTCTCATTCATCAACTTTATTATGGTTACTAACAACCATCCAGAGGGACAAATGTACTCACATTTCGTCTCCGTTTTCTGCATTTTTATTTCACTTAGTCTCACTACTATTTCTCATGTAAACAAACGCCAGACTATCAGTATCAATGATAAATCACATGCATCCACTCGAGCGAGCTTTGACTTATGTCATTTTTTAAATACCAGCTGAACTTATACAGGATTTTCAAGAATTACGGTCACTTTTTCGTTAGTGCTTAGCTGGGTCTAGAGTTAACCATTCCCCATAAAACTTTTTTTTGATAGAATTTTCATTTCCCAGACTTTAGAAATTTAAAATTAGCGATTCTATAGAATTTCAAATCTCTAAAACTCGAGGACGCGGCTTTTTGTGATCAAATTTTGAACTTAAAGAATTACTTTAATAATGACTACCAATCGATGAAACAATTATAAATATCTAAATTATAAAAAAACCTAAATCTTTGCTACTTTTTTGAATAGTAATTCTTTCAAAATTTAGTCACAAAAAGCTCTCGACTTCTAGAGATTTGAATTGCTATAGAATTGCTCTATAGAATTGCTAATTTTGAGTTTTTCTTCGTAACCTCTCACCTTTACATCATCGACATAATCAAAGAAATCCCTTTTTTCAATCTCTTCATGGTAACAACTTGGATCCGCCTAGAGTTTTTCAGTTTCATTTTCAAAGTTTCCCCCAACTTTCTTCAGACATTCTTTGAGTTTTTTCGACGAACCGCTCACACATTTGCAATTCCACAAGACACGAATCGTGTTGTTTTTCTGGCAAAAAACGTTAGCTTATCAAATAAAAAACTTGAAAATTCACAGTTCTTTCGTGTTGAACAGCCCATGGGGCAGTGGTTGTTCCCGAGAAAAGCATTACCCCTTGAATCAACCCTAAATACGATTGGATATAATCCATAAAAACTATTTTAAAGTTTGGGTACTCTAGCCAGGAAAGTACCATTCGTTTTCGGACTTGTCGCTAATATTCCCGCAAGTGCGGCACCAGTTCCATCACCGGCAACCACGATATTGTTTGGATCTCCTCCAAAATTGTAGGCGTTATCCTGAATACTTTCATAATTTGTTATAATATAATAATAATAATAATAAATTTGACATTCTTAGTATTTCTTACCGTAAATATTATAATAGTACCCCACCCCTCTCGTACAGTCGCGTAGTCGCAAAAGTTTTTTAGTATTTCATTTTTTTCAAAGCGCCCGTACCTTCAAAAAATGCGTCTTTGGTATCAAAAAATAGCTGAAATTCAGGGCTATTTTTTGATACCTTTGATACCATTGTAGCATAAACCAGTGTCGAGAAAAACTCGTTCAAAACTAGACTACGCAACACTCCGCACCGTCATTATGGGGGTGGGGTACTATTACAGTATTTACGGTAGGTATTTAGTGACTCTGGTGGACGGAATTTTGAATGAACAAGCGGAAATTTACAATTATCTGCCAGACAATGAATTAAATACAGAATTTTGGCATAATATTTGTGATTTAAAAATAATATTTTTATAAATGCTAATTGTTGACGTCTTAAAAAGATAAAGCTTAAATTCGTGAATATGAGTAAACAGGAAATCGAAAAGATTCTGTTTCTCGTCGAACTAGCAAATTTGCATAGTCACAAAAACGTTAATAACGTTCTTATGAACTTGCCAGACGCAAATCTTATGTAAATTTTGTGCCAGCTAGTCACATCTACCATCTCTTCGTACTCTTAGCAATTCACTCACCCTAACAAATCTCAAAGCCATCAAAATGTCCTCTAATCCCAGATTTCCGGGTAAATCGGTGTCATGCATTGCGAGAAAACCTGAATTCATCAAAATATCGATAGTTTCTAATTTTTTTCTTCAAGTTTTCAACTTTCCCACCCTCAAATCCTTGTCGATAATCAACAGCGACGAAAATCATGCGCCGAGACGCGAAATTTCGAATGATCCCCGAGTTCTTGTACCACAATTTGCCACCAGCCTGATAGCGGGTTAGGTTTTGCGTAAAATCTACCGTTTAAACTCAAATTATGACCAATCTTCTAAGATTTTTGGGTGAAATGGTGTAAAATCGTTACGATTATCGTGTTCTACTGGTCCCTTTTCGATAAAGCACCTAAAACTCTCGTAGTGATTTCAGTTTTCATTCGATTACCCCAACATTTTGGTATGATTCGATGCGGATTCAAAACGTTCAAAGCAATACAACTCAATATTACGGTAACTCAAGACTCAATAAGCTGTTAGCCGTTTGAAGAGAAAAGATACTTGATTCTGGTATGATTCGATGCGGAATCATATCAAAATCGTTCATACGGTTCAACCATTTACTCAATGGTTCTAAAATTCTAAAATTGAGCTATTCAAATGTAAAACGGCACTTGGTTACGGTAGTTTTGAAAATAATTCTTGGAAAAGCTACCTAAAACTACCGAAATCGGGTTAATTGAAAAGTAATGGACGGTTTGATTACGGTAAAATGAATGCTTTTTAGAAAAGTAAAAAAATGATAGATTTACCCGATACGAACCGCCGTGAATCCAGAAAACGATCGGTAAATAGGCGGAATAGCGCTGGAAATTGTTGAGATTATAAAAGCTTCTTAGGAAAAGATTCAACTAACGATATCTTTGATATGTTTAGCTAAAAACTACAGCAATTAAATGCCGCCATAGCTGACTGGCCAAGGCTCCAGTAGCTTAGTCGAGAGGTCAAGGCTTTCAATCCCACCCACTAGATTATTGGTTCGTTTTTTTCCATGAATATAGGCATTTTCCCTTAATTTAAAGCTTCGGCATTGTTTGTAATATATAATTGTGGATAAATGATAATTATGGATAGTTTATCGTGTGGCTAAATGTATTTTTGAATCCACAAACCTGTCGACTCCAATAGTCGAGTGGCACGACGACTTTCATCCTCAAACAATCATTCATCCCGTAGATCTTGTACTTTGACTCAGTCATCTCCTCGTTTAGAGAACATCGAAAACATTTACAGTTTATTTTTATGTTCTTGAGATTTATCTTTCTCGCAAAACTCACTGATGACAAGAGGTCTCATATCGGACATCCAATGGGTAATTCCATGGAACTGGTGGAACGGGCAACTGAAAAATGAATCGACCAGTGGAAAGATCGAGATTCAATCAAAGCATTGAGATGTCTAGTGACAAGAAATTGAAAGTTTTCCTAGAGAAACTTTGAATGCTTTAAGTTTACTTCAAATCGAAGATTCCCGGATGGAGGAGCCGCATAGGGAATCGATTCGTACACCTCGGCTGACGTGCTTTCCGTCTAAAGTTGTTGAGGACAAAATGACGGCAAATGTAGGCAAATTTAATCAATTCTTTTCAGAAATCCAGGTTTTTCATCATGAGAAGCTATCATATGCAAAACCCAACCGAATTCGATTCTCTTGGGACTTTTCTTGGGGAAAAAGGGTTAAAATAAACGCCACCAAAAAGGTTCTACGACTCTGAAAACATCGGGGCACAAATTTTTAACATTAAATTTCATTTGGGAGTCTCATAAATCTCATTTACAGAAGAAAGAAAAATCACTGTGTAAAATGATCTAAAGATGTTCTTTGTGCGGTCGCATATTCTCTCGCAACCTGGCACACGCTCCTGATAGATAGCTGTTTCCTTTTTGGAAATCGTCAAGGGAAAGGAGAGGTGGGTGGCTAGGGCCAGTAGTGAGTGGCGCAGTCCAAAGTTTTGGGGCAATTTTTGCCTTAAATGTTGCGAGTTTAGCGAGTTTTATAGCGAGAATTTGGCAAAGAAATAGAAATTCGACGCCCGTTGAACCATTGTGTTACCCAGGGCAGGAACCAGGTCCAGAGATTCTTGTGAGCCAGTCCAAAACCCGACCAACTCACATCTCTCTGCCCCTGCCCGAAAAATACCCTTTGAAAATTGGTTCAAGTGCTCACCTCATGAATATCGCCAATTATTATGCCAGCCTCGGTTTTTGTATACACTTCCAATCCACAAATTTGAGGAAATATCAAAAGCAACCAAAATGCGGCAATCAATCCATCGAGATTCATCGAAAAGTCGAAGAAACAAAATATTCAAAAAAGAAATGAAAAGAATGAGTTTCTCCCTAGTAAGAAATTTCCCATTTCTTGTTTATTTGAGTTTTTACTTCGACCTGTTCGAGACAAAAATAACGGGCTCGAATTTTTCGCTTTTTTTTTCAAAGCTAAAAGACAATTCATTTGTGAGAAGGGTTGATCGAACTGGAACGAGTGAAGGGAAATGAAAAGGAATTAGCTGAAAAGAAAAAGAAAGAAATCACTTGAGCTGAGAGTCATTTCGAACAACAATTTTAGGGGGGAGTTTGAGTTGAGAAAGTCAGTAAAAGGTTGTCGTTTTTGTTGCAAGGATCAACAAAATGATCAACAAAATGATCGTGTTTTTGCATGAATAAAGTCTCAGCCGAATTCGCATAACAATTTTGTATTTGTGCAATAATATTCCGAAATTCCTATGCCTGTAAGCAAAGAGAAATTTGCATTTCATTTTAACATCAATTCAATTACGGTAGCTTTGATAAATCAAATGGTAATCTAAAAAGTGAATGATGGCTAAAAGGCGCCACCGTAATCCCTCTGCTCTAATTTAACTACAGAAATTTGCATTTAAGCTTTCATTAGTGGATCGGGCTACGGTAGCTTTATGTCATTTAACCAAAAGCTACCATCACTTAAATGGGATCGAATGGTGGTTAAAAGGCGCTCGAAGTTACCGTAATCCTGTGATTTGGTTGTATTTACATTTTATTAGTCGGCACAGATAGAAAAAAGATAGAAAAATGCAATCTCACAAGAGTCATCGATCTTTTTGTCTTTTCAGTTCTTTTGATCTTTTGGTAGATTAAGCTAAAAATGTTGAATTTTAAAAAGAAAACTGAATTTACATTGAACCGAGCGATCGTCGGGAGAAGTTGTTTCCTAAAAGAGGACATAACATTTCTACATTTCTACATCTACATAACATTTCTACATCTACATTGTCATCCGCAAATCTTTTACCAAAAATAGTAAGCTTCGTGATCATATGTTCTGTGTTCGATGCTTCGATTCGAGATGTGGATGAATGTTCGATGAGATCGCGTGAATTGCGGATGATTCGAGAGTTTTCTAGAGAATTCTTCAAATCATCGACCTTTTAGAAGACGATTATCTTATTTGAAAGAGTGCTTTAGTGCGATTAGTTTCTTGAATCATAACTTTTCTCCGAGACGTTGGTTCTAAACGTTGGTTTGCCCGGTAATTAGAAACTAGTACTGTTCTACTTGTGAATTTTGGTGAATTTAGAAGATTGTGGGACATTTGATACGCGCCCTGCCCTTTTGCCATTGGCAATCCAACTTTGAGCTCAAATTTCTTGGTGTTGAGCTATAAAATTTAAATATTCTTGGTATGATTGGATGTGCGCGAAGTCTTTCTCTGTCGATTGATACAAAAACTATTTACAGCGTGGGTCAAAATTACCGTTACATATAAAAAAGTCTCTGTATAAAAAGCAACTCAAAAGGGCAAAGATTTTTCTTAAAAATAACTTTTATTTTCTCATAACAACTTATAGAAACTATTCTTTTTTCAAACAGATCTCCAATAGCTTTTACACAGGCGTCCAAACATCGTAGAAAAGCGTCGATCGTGGCGAGAAGGTATAGGAGAGCCAGCTCTTCCCGAGCCAGCTCCTCTTCCCGAGCCAGCTCCTCTTCCCGAGCCAGCTCCTCTTCCCGAGCCAGCTCCTCTTCCCGAGCCAGCTCCTCTTCCCGAGCCAGCTCTTCCCAGCCTTTTCGAGCGCTTTTTTCAAACTATCAACAGTTTTGTGTGGTTGATAGCGTCAACTGATAGCATTTGTGATTTGTTTTTTTTACATTTGCTGAAGTGTTACCGTTCGCTTTCTTCCATTTCGCTTTCGCATTTGCGCGTGAGTGAGCATTGTAACGGTAATTTTGGCCCACTCTGTACATTGGATATCTCAACACCAAGAAATTTGAGCTTAAAGTTAGATTGCCAATGGCGGGGCATTTCCGATAAGCAATTTAGAATAATCTCAACCTCTCAACCAAGAGAAAAGCCAATCAGAATCATGAAAAGTTTCTCACTTTGTATAGACGAAATCGGCGATGATTTGAGACAATTTTCCCAAGAAACTTCGACCCCAATCAAGTTCATTTTTTCTAAAACAAAGCTCATCATTTTTGTCTTCTCTATCTCTATGTACTTTAAGCACAAAACCCTTTCTGTTACACACGATTCTCCAATTTTCTTCTAGAAACGACAAATTCAGTGCACCAGAAAGGAAGCGTTTCCATTTTGCGCACTGTATAAGCATTGCTTTAGGCTTTTAGTCTCACGTGAAATTCCCCGCAACTCCAACGATTTCTTTAGAATCGAAAACGATTCCGAGATCAACTCCATGATCAGTGCAATATTTCCCATCAGCACCTCCTAAAAGTCTTATTTTCATGCAATCTCTCTGCAATTTCTCACCAAGTTCTTCATCATAAACATTATTCAATAATGTGTAAACAGTAATGTTTCGATCAGCATAGAAAAGTGCTTCGTGATGAGCTTCTGACGTGATTTCTTCTGAAATCAAAAGAAAAAGGAAATTATTGGGTTGGTGAGTTGAAAATGCCGGATTTTGAACTAAAATTTATTCAAAATAAAACCATGAATTTATTCGAAATAATCTCCATTATTATTGACGACTTCTGCCCATTTTACAGGCAATTTGCGGATTCCTCTTTCGTAGTAGGATTTTGGTTTGTGTGTGAGACAAGTGTGAGACTCAAAAATGGAGGATTGGAGATGTCCCAGTTAGAGCACTTTCTTCAAAAGAAACCCATTTTGGTGTCAATAGAAAAGTTGTAGAGAATCAAAAATGGGGCTTATAGCCAAATTTCCAAAGAGATACACTTAGTAGTTTCGCTTAAAATGCAAATTTTGTGAAAATTCGTAAATTTGACATTTCTTGAAAACCAGTTTTTGAATCGTTCTGAAAATCTGGATATAAGTTTGATTTTTGATTCTCTACAACTTTTCCATTGACACCAAAATGGGTTTCTTTTGGAGAAAGTGTGAGAACTGTCCGCAGTTTTCAATTCACCAACCCAATACTTTTCGAAAATGATCGCTTTCTATGCAGTCAATTTCCCAAAAATTAAACGAAGTGGAAAACTTTTTATATCAAAATGTAGAGGAGATTTTCAGCTTTCAAATAGAAAATAACACTTAGATATCCGTTTGATATCTTGAGAAATCTATAAAAAGAGTAAAAACATTGTATAGTTAATAATAGTTCAGGCTTTATCTTTACTTAATTTCATTTACTGTCATTTACTGTCTGCTACTCAATGCTGATCAGCACGAAATCTCACCTTCAGCCATTTTGTGATACTGAATCCCTCTCTCACTTGGGCTTTTTAGCTCACTCTGTAGATATCTGAAGCTAGTTTTATCAAAACTTTTCTTTAGCTAGGTTCGTTTTTCTAGAAAGCACTTGCAAACATTGGCTAAATGAAATTTAACTTTGAACTATTTAAGGTTTAAACCCGTTATAATAAAGTAAAGAATGGTAAAGAAAGATTCCCAGAGAGGGGATTGAACCCTCGACCTTTTTCTTTTCCTGGCAGATGCTCTAACCACTAAGCTATTTGGTGTCTTCTTGCCAGAGAAGAAAGAGGAAATAGAAGGGGGAAGAGAAAGGAAGTGAAAGGAAGTGATCAAATAAAATCGGTGTTTAGTCATATCAAGCTTTACGTAAGCTTTTTTTACTTATCAAGTGATTGTGATTGACCTCTCGGCGAGTAGCAATCGAATAGTGCTCGATCCGTTGTATCGAATTGGGACAATCGCGTTCACCCATGCCTCTTTCCCGAAAGCTGATAGTTCTCTGGCTGAGAAGTTGAAGTAGAACTTTTTATGTGAGAGTGGTTAAAATCTCAATTTGATTGACAAAAAAATTGATCAAATAATTGATTGCAAGATTTTAAGCTCTGCTTTAAATCTTGCAACCAATTATCTTGCAACCAAAGCGATTTGATTTGATAGCTTTAAGATTGCAGATAAGACAAGATAAGATGCAAGATTTTAATTCTGCTTTAATTCTGCTTTAAATCTTGCAACCAATTATCTTGCAACCAAAGCTAAGCAGAGCTTAAAATCTTGCATCTTATCTTGTCTTATCTGCAATCTTAAAGCTATCAAATCGCGAATTAAAACCTGCTTCTCTAAAATCAATCTTATCTTAAGCTCAATAAAATAGATTAAGAAATAAAAATGAGACCGATTTTCCGCATTAATGACATTCTCTCGTGAGCTGTGTTGCTGATCAAAACGGGTAAATGAGCGTTGGCTCTAAAATTCTGACTCTGATGAGACTAGTGTACTAGACATGGATGAGACTAGTGTACTAGACATTCTCTCGTGAGCGATGTTGCTGATCAAAACGGGTAAATGAGCGTTGGCTCTGAAATTCTGACTCTGATGAGACTAGTGTACTAGACATGGGAAAATTCCAATCCCAACCTAATTCCACCTTCGTTTTCTCGACCGTTTCTTGGCCGATTACTTTGAAATTTAGTCTACAAGCTGGAAATGTCGGTTTCTATCTGTAGGCAAAGTTTCAGAGCAATCGGCTAAGAATCGGCGAAGAAAACAAAGGTGGAAGTAGGTTCGAGTTGGAATTTCCCCAATTCCTATGGGGTACAGGTGTGTGTCCCGTTCTAGAGTTTATTTTTTATTAGTTCATTAAAATAATTGAAAAACTGAAGTAAAATTTGAAAAAAGATAGTAAACATAGTATTGGCGCATCGCACAATAACTCCCACCTCAATTTTGCCCCCCACTGTGGAAGCAAAATCCTGACTTCAGTGACTACACCTCAAATCACCGCAACCGCAATTATACCCCCATCCATTTTTCGACTTTATATACTGGGGGCAACACTGCGGTTGGGGATTTTGCGGTTCTCCAAGAAAAAAGCTTGATGCAAGCTGCATTATGATCAAAACTAGAGCAAGTGAATTACTGTCATTTACTGTCTGCTACTCAATGCTGATCAGCGCGAAATCGCGAGTAAGTAGTTAGCTCCCATTCTGCTCCGAGTTTTCTAAAGACCAAAGTTTGAATGTCGAGCAGTGGACGTTGAAAATTGATAACGATATTTATGAATTATGAATTACCTACTTTGAATTATAATACTTGCGCATTTCTAGGCTCATTGCATCATTGGATAAACTGAAGGGACTTTGGAGAAACGATTTACTACCACTCACTACTTCTAGAGTGTGTTCCTCGCGAGTAAGTAGTTACTCGATTAAAATTTGCATGAGTAATCTTTACTCGATTAATCGGCGTTTTTGTTCGATTAACTACGAGTAATCCTCTTTACACGTCGAGTAAATTGAATATCTTTACATTTGAAGGGAATTTCCCACCAAATCAGTTAAACGGCTGAATATCTTTAAGAAAGAGTCGTATATGGCTCGTGATTTTTGGCGCTCGTGATTTTCGTGGATTTTTGATTTTTGCTCGTGATTTTTGCACCAATTTTTTGCAATAATTTTCGCTAAAAGTACGGTAATTTTTCCTAAGCATGCCTTTTAAAGAAGGCATTATTCGCGAGGAACACACTCGCGAATAATGCCAATAATGGTTTTGAACACAATCAAAACCAACTTGACAACTAATTCCGGTTGATCGGGAAGGAAAGCCTCGTCTCCGCGAAAATCATCGATAATCGGAGTAAAGATCGTCATTCCCATGCGAATATTTTCATAGGTTATCTGAGAAATTTTATAGATGAACTGGAATTGGGTTCAATATTGAGGCTCAATATTCCTATAGAGTTCACAGTATAATAGAATTTGACAAGTTATAGAGTGAAGCTTGGCCTTTCTGAGTATCAAAATGACCTAAGAACAAACTAGATGACCTAAGAAGCCGTTTTTTAATAAACCTATTCAATTCATTCATAAAAATCGAGTGTAATTCTTTTCTTGAACATTTTGTCTACAGTAATCTACAGTAATCTTTAGTATAATAGAATTTGACAAGTTATAGAGTGAAGCTTGGTCATTTTACAAGAACCCTGTTTGGCTAAAGGATCAAGGAACAGTGGTAAGTAACAAGTACAGTGTACAGTGGCTAGGGCTTGCGGTAGCTTATTGTAGTGAGATTTACACGTTTTAGAACTTAAATCATTCATTTCAAGTACAGCTAAGTCCTACGCTATGATTTTTGTGAAGATTCGTTTTGAATAGCATTGGCGTGATGTCATCGTGATAACAAGACGTTTGCGCCTGGAATGGTAACGTTGGGAAGTCTGAACTCAAAGAATTATTGGTTATTCTTGTTAACTGAACCTATTGCCAACCTTCTTCATGCACTCCTTGATCTCTCTCGACGTCTTCATCACACAATCGCAATTCTCGAAAACCTCTCGGGTATTTGTTAGCTGAAAGAAATCAAACTAAAACAATTCGATTTAAAAAACCGTATATTTATTTCGAACAGCCCATGAGCCAGTGGGTGTGCCGGAGAACATGATCGCCGCATGTACGAGACCTAAAGTGCATGTACAAGACCTGAAGCGCATGTACAAGATCTGAAGCGCATGTACAAGACCTGAAGCGCATGTACAAGATCTGAAGCGCATGTACTAGACCTGAAGCGCATGTACAAGATCTGAAGCGCATGTACTAGACCTGAAGCCCATGTACGAGACCTAAAGCGCATGTACAAGACCTGAAGCGCATGTACAAGATCTGAAGCGCATGTACTAGACCTGAAGCGCATGTACAAGATCTGAAGCGCATGTACTAGACCTGAAGCCCATGTACAAGAGCTGAAGCGCATGTACGAGACCTGAAGCCTACCGTAAATACTCTAGCCCTATAGGAGCGTCGTGTAGTCTAAGTCTACTCTCAAAGTCGACTCTCGTACTTCTATTAGTGTACGGTATTTGAGTGATAATGATGATTGATGTTCAATCCTCAAACTTTTAAAGGATCAAAGCCTGACTTAGTACTTTTTAAGTACTAAAAATCAGTTACTATAAAATTTGCCGACCTTTAAACCGTGGACTGACGGCGACGAGTCCGGCCAGCGCACTTCCGGCACTCTCTCCACTCACAACAATATTGTTAATGTCAAAGCCAATATTCTCATGGTTTTCCTAAACCTTTTTCGTTTTTTTTAAACTTTAAAATAACCCTCAGAAAATTGAGTCCAAGTAGAATATCGGCTAGCCCGAGATTTCCGGGAAACTCATCGTCTTTTGCGGAAAGAAACCCTAGGAATTTTTGAACTCACAATTCAACAAAATCCAAAGAGAATACCATCAAATCCCAGACGATAATCGATTGCCGCAAAAACGATTCGTTTTGAGGCAATATTCCTCAGCACTCCCGAGTTCTCGTAGTAATATTTTCCGCCAATCTAGTAGTCTATTTATTAAACTTTCCGCGGAATGCACTACAGGCTGACACGCAGCTTACTACGTTCTTTAACGGCTTTCTGTCTTTTTTTTTCTTTTCTTATTAATTCGATGATTTGATTGTTTTTTCGGTATTAAGTCTAAGAAAGTTCAGCCTTTATTCCAGCCCATCCAGCCATTATTACTCTTCATCAGCAAGGAAAAACACTCGAAGAGATATCTCGAATCTTGCAGGAAAAGAGACAGAATGTTTTTGAAGCTGAAGCATTTGAAAGAAATAGGCTTCAATGACGATCGTAAAGGACGAGGTTCACCCTGCCAATAATTCTGCCAACAATTCAACAAATCGTTGAAAGATTTTTGATCGACTTAAAAGAAACCCCAGCTCCTCAAAGGATTCTTTTCAAAAAGTCAAGCCTGGCATTGGAATTCAGACGAGACGAAATTTAGAACAGGACTAGATCTTGTCCCTTACTCAGACCAGGCAAAATAGGTCAGATATAGGCCAAGCTCAGATCTAGGTCACTTTTTTGTGCATCGTGTCACTTAGACTCAGTTTTGAGCCATGGGCCAACACAGGGTCACAAACTAGCCTCTTGAACCAGTTTGGCAAATCCAAGAGAGACAGCTTGAACTCACAAGATTTCCCCAACCTGATAAGATCCACCGTGAATCCAGAAAAGCATCGGCAACTTTTGCGAGTATCTCTAGAACTTGAAATGAAATGCTTTCGATTTTTATGCACTTTTTTGCTTGCATCTAACGGGATGACCAATTTTATCCGCAAACAATCGTCTGATGGATCAACGGAACTCTCCGCCTGCAAGTGCTCAATTTGACAATGAATAAAATGAAACTCACATAAAATTGATAGCAAGCTGTCTTATTTCGCACGTCCAATAAGCCCGTCCATTTACTTCGCTTTCTGGGTAGCTGAAAGTTATAGTGTGGCTATAATACATGTCTGGCTGGCTTCTGGAATTGTCCGATTTGACCAGGATCAAGCATTGGCTTAGCTTTGCCACAAAAGTATGCAAAAGTCCTTAGCCTCTCAAAAGCCAGGTACAGGTAAAGCAAAGTCCGGCTTGCTTAGCATCGCTTTGCTTTGCTTTGCTTTGACTTGACACACAAATCCGCTAGAATTGTCCTAACTTACAGGCCTAGGGCCGGCTAAAACAATCTCAACAATCAAAAGGTTATCACAAGAACAATTTTTAAAGACTGTAAATAGAATTGGTCTTCCCATCAACCTCAAATCGAAGCGCTCCCTCGGGTGACAGTGCGTAGGGAATCGACTCGTACACTTCACCCGAAAAACCCGAGTTCTAAAAGGTGCTCTTTAGGGTACTCTTTAGGGTAGTTATTCCTCTAAAACTCACTTCTACAACTTCTCCAATCACTTTCCCCGTTTTTGTGTTTAATACGACATTCGGCCCATAACAGAAAATTCGTGAATAAAAAGAAAATAGAAAAATTCGCCTGAGAATGGAATCCATCAAATTTTTCGAAAAAAGGCTAAAATTTGAGCTGCTGTGGCTGATATATTTGTAAACAATCAAAGGCGTTTAGTTCTGACTTTTCGACTTTTTTTGGTTTCAAAGATCCAGTGAAAAAAATGGCTCAAGTGTCAATCTCTCTTTTATAAATGCAAATTGGTGGAAAGTTTTTGAGGCACACAAAACTCCGATTGTTTACTGTAATTCATTTTGTGCAATTATAGGCATTTAGCAAAGTATCTGAAAAAAAGGTTCATGTAAGGTTCATGTTAAAAGTTTGTGAAGCTTTTTTGGTGCAGAGAACACTATAAGTAACGCTAATAACTAACTCTTTGAAGCAAAAAAAATAAACGTTCAAATCATTTTGATAGAAATAATCAGATGGACAATCTTTTGCTGCTACAATTTTCAATAGTAGATTGAAGCTTAGGAGAAAGCTTTTCATTTAAAAATGATTTCAAAGTATTTTTAGTCGCTTTTCAGCTAGTGATGGTTTATCAACGTTTTCTGAGAAATCTCTCAACTTTTATAGAGCGGATTCATCAGGAAAATTGGTAACTGAGCAATGAACTGTTCTTGATTTTTTTCTACATTTTACAAGTTAACAGTTTAATTCTTGAGAAAACAGATAGACTTTAATAAATCTGTCATTGTTACCTCTGATCAATGAAAAGACATTGCATAATCAACATTGCATAATCCACTTTTACTTTTGAATGTTGAAGTTGATTTGCAAAAGATTAACATCATTCTAATGGCAAACTGCTTATCAGTTATGATTTTTTAACAAGTTGAATTAACTTGCAAACAAATCTTAACTAATAAGCAGTTTGCCATTAGAATGATGTTAATCTTTTTGGAAATCAACTTGCAAAAACAACTTGGAAATCAACAACTTTTGGAAATCAACTTGCAAACAAATCCGATCGATTTCTACACACAAACCGTTTTGTTTGCTTTGATGAGTCAGAAAATGATATGAAATGATTTTCAAAATCATTTGGAAAAGATTTCTGTGCTGAATGTGCTGATTTTCAGAAATATAAACCTGAGTTAACAGGTTTTATTTTGAAGTTTTCGATTTTCTTTTGAAAAATTTCCTTTTTAATTTTGAAATCTTAAAGATTTTTATGAAAGAAAATGCAATTTCAACGAAAAAGTTCTTTGAAATTTCATTGATTTTTTGAAAAAGAGAAGCCTGTCTTTCTTATGGAAAATGTTTCTTATGTAAATTTGGCGCTTTTCAAAGCGTCGAAAGTCTTTTATCGAATCTTTGATTGTTTCTTTGAACATGAATTTTCAGTTTCACAATGCCGTATGTAACCGTTTGCTCAGTTCAAATGCATCCCCGGGGAGCCATTGTACATGGAGACAAATTGATGTATCGAGTGACTGTCGAGGATCCAGCTAAAGAACTTCTTTTCAATCGTGATCGAACAATTGATGCATCGATGACCGCTTTGGGAGAGATTTGCCCGAAAAAGGGAGAGTTGAAACTCGGAGAATTCGAGTGGGGTTTCCATTGGGATTCATCTTTTTTTTTCATCTTTCTTTACCTATTAGATCTCTTTTTTTCAGTTTCTCTATAAGCAAATCTTATCAATAAATTGATTACTATTTAAGAAATTCAAGAAAATCTTATTGAACACTTTACATTTAACTCTAACGTTGAGAGCTTGTCCTTCAAATTGATAAAATATCCTTCATTCTGGTCACTTTTAAGATCAATACTTCTATTGACTCAGTAATATATTGACCGTACTTCTATTAGAAGTATTACTGAGTCAATATCTAATAATTCGAGCTTCACAACAAGCTGTTGTTAAGTGTTATTTGAAAATTATCATTGGCTAAGTTCAAGTTCAATTTTGCTTTTATTTCCTACCAAATTTAGACACTGGGAAAGTGATAAAGTCTCTCCAATCGAATTTCTGAATCGAGCCGAAAAGAAAGGTTTTCGAGTCGTTTCGATGAGCACAACGTCACAGGGAATGGTCACAAAATGGACACTTTGGAGAACGATTTAGCGATTGGAAACAATTTTTGCTTATTTTTCTAATACACAGTATCTTTTTCGTTTCATTATTGTATTTTAAAAAATAAAAATAACCACATATCATCTCGTCTTTTTTAGGTGTACAAGGTGGATGAAAAGTTCTGTCCCTCTTATAAAATAGGTAATTTTGATAGAAATTTTTGAGAATTTATATTGATATTTTTATATTGATGTCAGTTTGTAAGTCAAAACGTTTGAAAGCCTGTCTTGCTGAGTCAAAACGTTTGAAAGCCTGTCAAAATACGGTACTTTTTCCAATTGACGTCTTGTTTTAGACTCGGAAATTCAAGTTTTACTAATAAAATCTTACTTTTTTTGGGGGGTTTTTTGAACATAATATAATTTTGAACACAATAAAAACACGCGTCCGATTCGAACAGAACCCAAACCCCAGACAAAACCTATACATTAGTTCAAACACAAAAAATAAACGCATCAAAAGCGCTAATTTTTCAAGTTTTGTTACAATTTTCTACTCAACTTTGCATATGGAAGCTGATTTGAATGAAAACGCCAAAAATGAAGCCAAAAAGCCTGAAGCCTGAAGCCAAAAATGTTACAAGTACCATTCAATACTTCAGATTGATGTGCAAAACGTTTAATCTAGCTTTTATCTATTCAAAATTATATACAAAATTCGCAAAACTTCAAAGATTCTCAATAAAATCACCATTGTGAGTGATAGTGCGCAAAATAGAGGTCCCTAGCTTTTCCCTCCAAATTCAACAAATCTTTTGTTTGTTCGATTCGTTTGTTCTCATTTTTCACGATGATCGTGTAAACGATCCACGGAGAGAAAGCGGTGAAATACATTGGACACTGAAAAGAGGGCATTAGGGGCATTAACATACAATTTTTCGGTACTCTTTGGTTAAGGGCGCGTTAGAATTTGTCGCTCTGCAATCTAGAAATGCGAGTGGCTAGTGAGCCGGGAAAGAACGAGGCAAAAGAGTGTTATAAGGCTTGCTCAACAGACATTGCTTGACATAAGTCAATTAGCAGAATACACCAATGACAAACTATTTGCTATTGTTGCCACCAACTATTAGAATTTGTCGCTCTGCAATCTAGAAATGCGAGTGACTAGTGAGCCGGGAAAGAACGAGCTTACTGTTAATGGAACCCGCTCAATGATGCTACTTCCTCCATGGTTTTCCCACTCAAGCGTTCAGACTATTGTTGAAACTCTTTCAGTTAGTTACAGTAACTAACTGAATTAGTTTTGTCGAGACGTAGAATAGCCCAGCAATACAAAAGTGACCTTTTGCTTTTGTATTGCTGGGCTATTCTGTGACCGGTAACCTTTTGCTCCCTCCTGATAACCGAAAAGAGTACCAATCTTTCTCTATGACTTCACTAAGGACTTACAAAAACGAATCCACCCACAGCCGATTGAATCGGATCTTGAAGATTCAGATAACGCCACCCAAAGAAGACGAAAGTGTAGAATAGATACATGAATGCGTGAAAAAGGCTAGAATTTGATTTTTGAGTTAAACTTTGATTCTGTAGATATGAGTCATAAAATAAGCCCCTAAAAAGCTAAAATAAGGATGTTGTAAGCAAAAAGCTTTGTTTATTTTACTTTTGACGTTTAAAACTAAAGACTAGCCATCCTCATTTACCTGTATGGCAGAAAGAGTCGCATCGTTGAGATCAATTGTCGTCGCGTCAGATTCACACAGACATCGAACGATCGCTTCGCTCTATACATTTCCTGATTTCACTATTGAGAACAACAGGACATGTGCACTAGAGCTGTTCATTTTCAGTCTGATTGTCAATGGATGTACAACGGAAAAACGAGATTTGACCCCTTCAGCAGCTACTTTTCTGGGATTTCTTGCTACCAGAATGCAAAGCTTTTCAAGCTCTTCTAAAAAAACCCTGGAAAAGTAAATGATGAAGGGGTCAAATCTTGTTTTCCGTTGTACACCTATTGAAAATCAGACCGAAAATGAGCAGGTTTCGTGTGTACCCTTTTCTCTAGACTAACCGATTCTCCTTTTCGTATTCCCTCATCAACCACAGAGAGATGCCTATTGTCAGCACTTCCATAACGCATGTCACCTTTGCCTCTGTATCTGAATTGTTCGTGGCACCTCGACAGAAGGAGACTTGCACATCTGGCACTACAATGCCGGCGATTTTCCAATAGAATTCCGAGCAGGAAAGCAATAGCTTAAAATGAACTGCTGATTACGGGACGTGCTTTGAGACCAGAATCAAACTTGATTCGATTCACCTACCGTAAATACTGTAATAGTACCCCACCCCCATAATGACGGTGCGGAGCGTTGCGTAGTCTAGCTTTGGACGCGCTTTTCTCGACACTGGTTTATGCTACAATGCGCGCCTAGGTATCAAAAAAAATAGCTGAATTTCAGGGCTATTTTTTGATACCAAAGACGCATTTTTTGAAAGTACGGGCGCTTTGAAAAAAATGAAATACTAAAAAACTTGCGACTACGCGACTGTACGAGGGGGGTGGGGTACTATTACAGTATTTACGGTAGTGCAAACGGTTCCTACAGCAAACGAACCGCTATCGTGGTAATTCCCCGTTGAATAGCCGTTTCCCTGTTTTGCACTCTTGCCCCACCGAAGAAAGTGAGTATTCGAAAAACGACCAACGACATGTTCAACGTCGGCAAAGTGAACACCGAAAACGTGTAAGAAAGCCGCGAATAGTAGCACAATTTGTATGAAATCTTGGCCATACAAGGCGGTTGAGTGAGATGGAGAACGAGGAACATTCCCTGTAAGTGGAAAGTGGGTGAAACTCTTTCTGAAATCATGACTGACTTGCTTAAGTAACAAGATTCATTTCCCCGAATTTCCCACTAGGAAAAGTCGTCTGGTTAAGAAGTTTGGCAGCTTTTCACGATGATTTTGAAAGTGCAATTACTTTTAGAACAAGAAAAAGGATACAGAGACGGCCACCTTAACTTAGCAACATTTCGTAGAAAGGAGGCAAAAGCCAATCTTACGCCCCTTTGCCCTTGGCAATCTAACTTTGAGCTCAAATATCCTGGTATTGGGCTGTCAACTTTAAATATTCTATGTATTATTAGATGCGCCAAGTCTTTCTCTGTCGATTGGTACAAAAACTATTTTAAATTCGACAGCCCAATACCAAGATATTTGAGCTCAAAGTTAGATTGACAATGGCAAAGGGTCGGGTATCACATGTTCAATAACGAGTGAAATGGGCTTTTGCCTCCTTTCTACGAAATGTTTTAAACCCAAAATTAGATTGTCAATGGCAAAGGAGGCGGAGCGCGTATCAAATGTTCCACAATCCATTCCACCACTCACCATTGCGTAAATCATGGCGACGGCTTGTTGTAAATGTATCAGATAGCAGTAAATGATGTGCTCCTTGAAGGCCGAATCGAGTAGAACCGAGGAAAATGTCCGTCTAGCCGTTGCAACGATCGCCGTGATGGCCATTGAGGCAAAGGTGATCTGACCGATGAACATGAACTTGAGATAGAGACTTTCGGAGAATATCGATATCGTTGGACACTCGGTTGCGTTCATTTTTGGAATACCTTGGAATGGAGTTGAAAGATCAGAAAAAATCGAACGAAAATTCTCGAAAATGAATCAGACGCGCGCTTTTCACAATTTTTTTTTTGACTAAAAGTCATATTCTAGAATAATTATGATCTTTCTTCCCTACAACTCGCATTCCCTTGAGACAAGTAAATGAAGCCGCGAGTGAACTTTGAAACCGTTTAAACCTTTCGCTTTCCTGTTTGTTCAAAAGTGTGAACTGTTCAAAAGTCTTCACCAATATTTTGTTTTTAAGTAAAGTTCGAATAAACGTTCGTCATCGTTCGCTAGTGTCATTAGTTTGAGGCTCGGGTTTAAGTTGAAAAGAAAAGCAGAAGTTGAAAAGCCGCAGGGAACTCGTTTCAAATTATAAAGTTCCTCATTTCGCAAAAATACATGCACGTACACTACTGGACAATGAAATATCATATTTGAAAAAACACTTTCGCACTTTCGCGCGTCTGTAACTTCCTTGTCTTTACCGTATTTCTAAATATTAATATTACCATTGTGTAGCCCTTGAAAAGAGCTTTCAGAAAATGTATAACACTAATAGTTTAAACTCAAAGACAAGGGAGTTACAGACGCGCGAAAGTGACGATCGTTTTTCAAATATCATATTTCATTGTCCAGTACTGTACCTTGGGTGTGTAAATTGAACGATTTTTCGGCGTAAGAGTTGTAAAAAAACATTGCATTCGCATACTTTCTCGGGTGCAAACCAAATGACTCAATTTCAAAATATATTGAGTTTCCAATGGTCAAAAAATCATAAAAAAAACAGCACATTGCCCGATGGTGCTAAAAGACAAACATTTCCCATTCAAAACAGAAAGTAATGCCAAAATATTTATTGCTCATTCAATGTGTTTTTTCATGGTTCGGGTCCCCAATGTGCGTATTTCTCGAACGAGGCTCCTCCATCACAATCCGCACACATACAAAGATCAGGTACGAAACGCTTTTTTCGAGTAGGCTATTCGAGTAGGCTCCATCGTCACGGATCTCCCAGCTCGTCACGTCATTTCCATCGACGCCCTCGTTGTTTCCGGACCGTCACAGCCTGTAAAATAATATGCTTTAAACATTAAGCCTTTTAAAAATGTGCCTTTAAAGCTTATCCACAAGTTTTCCAAACAAGTCTTTTCGCCCCTTTTTCATAATTCTTTTTGAAACCAACGAATGCACCACTTAAACTATGGTTTATTCCATTAGAAAGGTAAATCATTTTTCTACACAATAACATTAAAACAGGTTGTCTTATGTGTGAATTTTTTTGAAGGCGAGAAGTCGGGTAGTCGAAAAAGGAGATCTCTGATATCCCTTTTTGATCTCCCTTCAAAGAGATTCACTCGAGGGATTTGAATTCGATGGAATGCAGATGAGTGAGGTTCAAATATGGGCATTTCTAGATATTTCAAGATCCGGGTTGGTTTGCTACCTGATCTACTGACAAACTTCTATTGTATATCATATTAGTTTTATGCTGTTCTACTCTTAGAAAGCACACTTGAGAATCGACATTTTTTGATCCCTCACTTCACTCACCTTCCCAACCCCAAACATCTTGATGCAAATACCAGTTGCCTGAATCGCGAGCATCCGTTGTTGTTCGCGTAGCACCAGAAACACGTGGTTCCCCAGTTATTCGGAGTGAAGTCCCAATCCAGAGCCTGCAAATTGTTTGTTTGGTAAACCAATTGTCTACTTTTTATTTACCTCTCCCGGTTGCACTGTCCAGAAGCAATTCTCATCCGATCCACTGCTCTCAATTGTGTCATCGGCTGACGCACATTTCAGATACATCGAGTTCTCCATTGTATTGGTGACAACCACTTTGTACTTCTCGGTGAACCTCTCAACGAGCTCTTGAACGGCGCTGCCCACATCGAGCATGAACTCATAAAGCAAATTTTATTTCGATCTTATTTCAATAATATTGAACAAATACAAAGGCATTTGTAGGCATACAAAGATCAGGTACGAAACATTTTTTATGACTTTGTTCAGAGAAATGGGTCATCCATCATTCCCTTATCAGAAGCAGACAGGCTATAAGATCAGGAAGAGAGAAATTCAAAGTTGATTCTTTTCTACTAAACACATTCAAATGAAACTCTTATTTTTTTTATTCTATTATTCGTTAATTTGATTATCCCTATCGTGGCTAAAAAAGGAAAAATCGAATGTTGGCAGGGTAGCGGTGAGGGGAAGGAATTGGGTTCTGGGGTATGTTTGAGCAAAAAAACCAACTCATTGAAATGTTGAGAATAGTGGTCGGGTGGTTGAGTTTTGCGTTTTGTTGCGCTAGCAGATGAGTGAGAATGGCTGTGCCGACAGCGCCTGATTGGAAGGTGAGCTGAAAAAAGGAGAAATTGTTAATGAAAAGCTTTATTGGTATAATTTTCATTAGAAATTAGATTAGATTTAGGCTATTGTTTGAGTTCAGCTCTCTGGTGCTTGCTTTCAGTTCTAGATTGGCTACTGTAGCGTCACCGTACTTTGATGATAAACTAAAATATACTCGAATAAAAATCTAGGAAAAGGAAAAATCGAATGTTGGCAGGGTAGCGGTGAGGGGAAGGAATTGGGTTCTGGGGTATCTTCTGCTCTGATCTCTTTTCTCACTTTTTTCTTGAGTCAAAAAAAAAACATTTTTTATTGTTTAACATTTTAAAACAGACAAAAAGACAATAATTTTAAAAATTTCGTAGAGAAAGTTCAGAGTTTTCAGTATGGATCCAATGTTTGCGATTGTGGAGATTATTGTGTATCCTATCACTTTCAAGTAATGTTTCGAACTTTGATGATGAGACAATGATAGTCTTGTTTGAGTTTTGTTTAGAGTTAGAGAGAGATCGACAAATAAACGTTTTGTAGACAAGACAAGGTTAGCCATTCGACCGGCTTACCATAAAAAATGCGTCATGTGTTCAGAAGAAATACTATCGACAATGTGGATGCATGTTTGACCCGTCACGAAAGACCGAATCGAAATGTGATGTGGGTTTGGTGGAATTGAGAAGATGATCTTTCTAAATCTAAATCTTCGTTATTTCTTTTGATTATTGTTGTCGAAAGTGTTGGTCAGTGAAAAGATCGTTCCATAAAATATCTCAAACCTTTCAAGCTGCTCAAGTGATAGATGGTCAAGTGGATTATGCAAAGGGCCATAAAGTGAAATTTTCTGAAACATTCAATCCACTGTATTCATTGTAGAAACAATTGAAGTAGAACTTCCTCAACTTTTCAAAACCAAAAGTCAATCAGACTTAACATTTCTCTTCAAGGCCCTCGGCGAACACGATTTGAACGGAGAGCTGGTGTATTGCTGTTCGGGTGATCGATGCAATGCAGAGTATGGCTCCGTTTTGCAAAGTGTCCAACAAGCCTTTCAAGTGATCTCTATGATGCTGTCTTTGGGTGCTTTCTGGATATTCCACACTTTCTGAATAAACACTGGTACTCTCTGGTACTCTTCACTCAGGTCACACTATTTCTTGGTTGAGATATTTTGGGATTTTCGAAAATGATTTTTGGGATGGGTTATATAGACAAATAAACTGAGGGGCACAAAATAGCCACGGTAGTTACCGAAAACGGTAACTACCGTGGCTCAAGGGGGCACTTTTTAATGGTTCCAGTCGTTCTTTTCTCTCAAAAGCGAACTTAAACCTATTCTGGAACTTTTTTTGCAACTTTAGGTGACAATAAATATTAGATTTTTTTCCACCTTGGATAATTTCTTAGTGACGTGGCCGACTTCAGCGATTTCAACAAATCACTGGGATCTCCGTGCTCCATTTCCCCGCTTTTGTTCAAAGTTTGAAGATGAAACGTTTGAATGACTCCAAGTAAATGACCCCATTTACTTGTCTCAAGAGAATGCGAGTCGCAGAGAAGAAAGAGCATAATTATTCTAGAATATAAATAAATTTTTTTTAATTGTAAAAAGCACGTCTGATTCATTTTCGAGAAACCCTCTTTCAACTCCGTTCCAAGGCATCCCAAAAATGAACGCAACCAAGTGTCCAACAATATCGATGTTCTCCGAAAATCTCTATCTCAAGTTCATGTTCATCGGTCAGATCACCTTTGCCTCAATGGCCATCACGGCGATCGTTGCAACGGCTAGACGGACATTTTCCTCGGTTCTACTCGATTCGACCTTCAAGGAGCACATCATTTTCTGCTATCTGATACATTTACAACAAGTCGTCGCCATGATTTACGCAATGGTGAGGGGTGGGATGGGTCTTCGCCTTGTTTCTACGAAACGTCGTTAAGTTAGCGTGGCCATGCAGGCAAGATGCCGTACACGGGACAAAATTTTTTTGACTTCTCGATTGTATGATGCCAGTGACCGTAACCGTAACCGAAACCGGAAACAGTCATTTTTTTTTCCAATTTGGTTGCGTTTGTTTTGTTAAGGTTTGTTTTATAAATACATATCAAGTTTGGTTCAGATAAAATGCCACATTTTACTTTTATCAGCAACATTTTTTAACTTCTTGATTGTTCGGAACCAGAGACCAAAGCAAAGGGACAGATAACTGGTTAAATGTGTAGATAAGTAGTCCTGCTGCTCACTAGTCAAAGTGCAGGGTGCTCATATTTACCCGGACTCACTTTCAATATCCAAGAATGGCCTTATATTTTCTGGAAATAAATTTTGATATGGTCTCCTGTAGCGGTGCCAATTTGATAGTCGATTAGAGCTCTTCACTTTTTTATATGAGCTTCTAAAGTTTAAAAGTTGCGTTTCTTCTGGCACGCTACTCACTTTGGAGGTTTATGACTTTCTCCTCAGCACAAACCCTTGAAATCTGTTTTTTTCTTGAGAAAAATATCATTTTATGAAAATCCAAAACATTTAACCAAGATAAAGAATAAAAGATGATTAAGTTTACTGAATTGTGAAGAAAAAAACACATTTCCCCACGGTTAAATTACTGTGGGGAAAATCTGAAGAGTTCTAAAAAAGTGTTTGCTAATCGTATGTTCACTTTTCGTCATTCGCTATAAATTTGCTTTGCTCGTCAATATGAATTTTTCTTTAAAGAATACTTTTAAGACATTAACTTATTTTACAACTCGTAAGTTGTTTCGATTGGGTTGTTAAATAAATTATATCCGTTTTTTGGAGAGATGATTTGTCATTATCAAACTATCAAATCAAACTTAATTAATCTAAACGTGTTAGGGCTTATTCGAAAGCTGAAATCAAGAGAAACACTATTTTAGGTTGCCAGCAGTCTAGTAAAAGCTTTAGAAAAAACTTTGAAACTGAATGAGTCAAAAAAGGTTTTCACCATCGTCTTTCCCTTACATTCATATAAGCCCTAAAAGGCCAAGACGCTCTTCCAAAAAAGCAAACAGAACTTACCGTATTTCTTCGAATAGAAGACCGGGTAAAGAGTATCGTCGCGTACTCCTGCGTAGCAGTCTCTTTTCTGAATAAAAGCTTTCAATCAAGTGCTATAGGGATGGAAAATGACTCAAAAATGCCACATGAGCTAACAGATTTTTGAGCCATTTTCCAGCTCGATAGCATTTGATTGAAAGCTTTTATGCAGAAAAGAAATTTTTAAAAGGGCTGCTACGCAGGAGTACGCGACGATACTCTTTACCCGGTCTTCTATTCGAAGAAATACGGTATCTACCAACCCAATAGGTTGTGATAAGAATACTACTCATGGCACTGCTTCAAGTAGATTACCTGATAACACAATATTTCAAGTCTAGCCATTTGTGCTGTGATCAATCTCTTCTTCGTTTATATTATTTTGGCAAAAGCTCCAAAAGAGATGGAATATTACTCGAGATACATCGCCTTTGCTCACGTAGGACTTTTTGAGAAGGTTATTTGGTAGATGCATCATTCCGGTTCGGCTTCACATGTAAATTTTTGTATGCAAACTTGATAACTTACTAATGAGGAGGTACAACCTAGAATGTACCGGTTATTTTGTATTTATCTACATCTCTTCAACTTATAGAATATCCTAATCTTAACTGAATACCTTAATCTAGTCTGAATATCCTAATCTAGACTGAATACCCTAATCCAGCTAATCTAGACTAAATATCCTAATCTAGACTAAATACCGCAATCCAGCTAATCTAGTCTGAATATCCTAATCTAGACTGAATACCATAATCCAGCTAATCTAGACTAAATATCCTAATTTAGACTGAATACCCTAATCCAGCTAATCTAGACTAAATATCCTAATTTAGACTAAATACCGTAATCCAGAAGTCCACAAATAGAAGTTAAAAGAAAGTAAATAAAGACACAGAAAATGAAAAATCTCTTTTTAAAGGGACTTTAAGTAAATCATAACATCTTAAAGTAAGTTTTAACAGTTTATTTAAACGTTTTACAAAGTTTACACGTTTAAAGTTTACAAACAGTTTATTTAAACTAACTCAACTAGAAGTTTCCAATCAACATCAATTGTTTAGTTGAGCTCAATCTCGATCGACATCGTCTACACTCACCTTACTCCGCCACACTTCGCTATGATCGGCGATGTGTGGTCGATACAATTTTCTGGACTTTTGAGCTTTCTAAATGTTGATCCAATGATTCAAACGGTTAACTAACTTTACAATGAAATAAACTTACAACAAAACTAAGATTTTTCTCGTCTCCGTTGGCTGGTTGATGAGCTTCTCGTTCCATTGTCTGATCTTTGGAGCACTTTGGAGGATATTCTCGAAAAATGATAGAAAACGAGAGATTTTGAAGTGATTTGAAATCGTCTCAAGTGAACACAACTTTTAGATTTCTTCTCTCCGTTTCACTTGTGAATGGTGTTCTCTACGAAGGCGTTTTCTTGATTGGCTATGCGATATTTTATGGGGTAATTGGAGCTAAAATATGTAAATCTCTCGAGTAATGTGAAATAGATCTCTAAAAGACATCTATTTCACAAAATTACCGCAACCCGTTTTGACTCAATCAGCTCAATTTTGGTGCAATTTTTTGGGTGAGCATTGCAATTCCTCTCAGCGATTGCTACCAAAATTGAGGTGATTCGGTAGATTCAATATCCATCTACATTCAGAAGCAAATGTTCGTCGATCCAATCGAACATTGTCTCCTTTCTAGATGGCCGGCATCTCTGTTGCTCAATGTCTCATCAACTATTGTAGTCTTGATTGCAATCGTTTGTTTTGTCGGCTTTTTGGTTATCATGAAACAACACTTCGGTGCATTGAAAAGAACCGTTTCTCTCTCACAAATCACGATTCAGAAACAGAAATTATTTCTGAGGAACAGCTTGATACAGGTTTGTGATTAGGTGGCGAAGAATAAAATGCGATTTTTGTTTTTGCGTCAACTTCAACCCTTCATATCTCAGCGATTATTCAACCAAATTCCATTCTCTTTTTTCATTTTGCTCCTTTGACATCCCTCTATAATCCATCGTCTTTTCTGAACACCGTATTCTCTCTAATAGTAGTGCGCACTACTATTTTTTGAACCCCCTCCTGGATCGCAATACTATTAGAGAGTGCACTACTATTAAAGAGTTTTATCATTTACCAAAGTAAGTTCCAAAAATTCTTGCAACTCTTTCACGTACTCCTTTGGCTCCTTTTGACATACAGTTGTGGGCCGGCGAGTTGACAATTTGTGTGTTGACAAACAACAAAAAGATGTTTTTGCTCTTTGCACAACAATTTTAGATTTTTTGCTAACTTTTTCATGTGAAGAATAGTTAATAAATGAATAAAAAAAGCCTGACTTTTGATTGCTTGAATAGCTTTAGAATGTCACATAAACATAAAGTCAAAAAGGTTTAGATGAAAAAGAAGCACCAGAAATTCAAATTTTCGTGGGTGCACTACTATTTTTTCAACCCCCTCTCGGACCGCAATACTATTAGAGAGTGCACTACTATTAAAAAGTGCACTATTATTAGAGAGAATACGGTAAGTTATCGGCGGAAAATGCCCAGAAACTTTTTAGAAAAACTCTTATGAAAAGCCAATTTTTTGTAAAATCGTTACTTTTCATAAGTTTTTACAAAACAAAAAACCGCATTTCGGTCATAAAAACAATAACAATAACAAAACAATTCGTAAAAGTAACTAGTTTCCATTTTCAGCTCTCGATTCCAGTTATTTTCTTCTCATTTCCCATTTTTGCTCGACAAATCGCGTTGATTTTCGTTGTTTCTGATGGTTTGTTTCGACATTTTCAGTAAATGAATAGTTAAAATGAAGTTTTTAAAAAAGTTTCGCAATACGGGTTGTTTATATTTTGCACAGAACTTCTGCCAATTCATTATCTCATCTTTTAGCAGTGATCGACGTCATCAATTTCATCCAGAGCTTTTACGGTTCAATTTTCACGATCACCACGATGGCTATTTATGCACCGTATCGACATTTTGTGATCGAAAGATTTAGATGTCAGAAAATGAGAGTCGAATCAAGGGTCACATCGGGAAATCAGCATTGAGAAGTTTCATCTTGGAAATCAAGGAGGGATTAATAAAGATTAATAAAGATTAATAACATTTGTTCACACGAATCATGTGGTACAAACAATATACAAGCACAACCCCTAAGCCGTAAATGTAGGAAAGAAAAGAAACCCATTTGTATGAAGAAAGAACTAATAATCTAGCCGGTGAGATTGAACCCTTGGCCTCTCGACTAAGATACAGAGTTCTTAGCCAGTCGTGAAAATTGAACCGTAAAAACTCTGGATGAAATTGATGACGTCGATCACTGCTAAAAGATGAGATAATGAATTGGCAGAAGTTGTGTGCAAAATATAAACAACCAGTCAACCATGGCGGCTTTTATTAATGTAAAGAAAATAAAAGCTCGGCACATGGCAAGCTTGTGAGCTGTAAGAAATGTTTTTTTGTCCTTTCACAAGTAATCTGCTCTAATTGATGATATTACATTGAAAAGTTTTTAGTTTTTATTCACTAATATAAATATAACAAATGAACTGGTGAAAGAATTTTTGTTTCACTTGTCATTATTTATACCTGTTGAGATGAACTCTGACAAAGAAACCAGTTCGAAGATCGATCGGGGATTTGTTCGGAGCCCAATGTATCTGAAATGTGATGTACAACTTTAGTACTAATATATATATTAGGTTGATGCATAAGTCTTTTCGTTTTTTTCGTACTTCTGTTAAAAAGTAACAAATTCACGAATTAATCTATAGTTTGCTCTATAAAAAAAGTGTTTTTTTGTTCAATTTGCATTTTTTTAAATGAATTTCGGTTCACTTTCAAGCAAATTCGAGAGTGAAAAACGCCTTTTTCGTAAAAATCTATAAAAAACTCTACGGAAAAATTGGCTGAATGAATTTCTCTGAAATTTTGGCGAAATATCAAACTTTTTTTTTCTCTATCTTTTATCTATTGACACGAAGATAGGTTTTCTTTAGCTAAGGTGTCTAAACCGCATCATCGAGTTAGCCCTTTTTGACTACCCGACTTCATACTCTCAAGAAAATCCAGGCATTAAATATTTTTAAACCCGTTTTAATGTTATTTTGCAGAAAAATAATTGCTTTTTCTAATGAAATCAACCGTAGTTTAATTCGTGCATTTGTTGGCTTGAAACGGCAGACGAAAAGGAACGAAAAGACTTATGCATCAACCTAATATATAGATGTGGTTGAATACTGACTTTAACTCCATCAATGTTATCACGAGTTTCATTGTAGGTGGTGGCCGATTGATCAGTCTGCCTGTAAATGTTGACTGGATGGCTTGGAATTTTTGAGCAGCATGGGAGAATCAGCCCTGATTCTTTTAAAATCATTTGAAAGCGAATGGCGGCATTTTTTTTTCCTTGGTCCATGGACCAATCTTGCTGATTCTGGTACAAAACTACGCCAAATTAGCTCTAGTTTCTAAAAAAGGAAATCGTTTGCAAAAATATTAAGTTTAAAGAGAGTTATTGTCAAAAAAAAAACCAAAACTTTTCCACCACTTTAAACTCAAAAACCCTTTATTTTACAAATACCTTTCAAGCCAAGTCTCATTCCTGAAGGTGATGCTCAGATTTCCATTAAAAAAGTCAATCACTTCGACCGTTAGATAAATTTTGAATGAATCTGAAAAAACCCTAACTGTTGATGATCTTTTGTAAATCTAAAATAAATCATTTACCACAAATGATGGACTGGGTAAAATTCGAGAGATATTTGTCTTGGTAAACTAAAATTAAAAGTTTAAAAAATATGAATAGTCACATGCTGTTTGGATATTCGAATGGGTTTTGGTAGCCGTTCGAAGTGAAAAGCGTCACTCCATTACAAAGCTTCAGCGTTCTCGTGAAAACGTTGTTGAAGGCTAGAAGTTGTTTGGATGTAAAATTATGAGAAACAAATTTTTACACTTTACGGGAGTGGGACAAATGCGACCTTTTTTTGCGCACCTGGACATTTGCGCACCTGGACATTTGCGCACCCGGACATTTGCGCACCCGGACATTTGCGCACCCGGACATTTGCGCACCCGGACATTTGCGCACCCGGACATTTGCGCACCCGGACATTTGCGCACCCGGACATTTGCGCACCTTCTTTCGCGTTTTAAAAAAGCTCTAAAAGCTAATATTAACCAATTTCTATTCCAAAAATTGTTTTTCTAGGTAATTTTAGGGCGTAGAATCGAAATTTTGACATATCAGAGCTTGTGGAAACAAACGGACGGAGTTATACAAAGAGAAAGATCGACAAATTTCTGTAATTTGATCTAGCCGTTTTGTCTTTCAAATTGGTTCCACACGCTCTGTTATGTCAAAATTTGAATTCGACACCCTCAAATTACCTAGAAAAACAACATTTGGAATAGAAATTGGTTAATATTAGCTTTTTAGAGCTTTTTTAAAACGCGAAAAAAGGTGCGCTAATGGGCAAGGTGCGGAAAGAAAGGTGCACAAATGTCCGGGTCGCATTTGGTCGCATTTGGTCGCAAAAAAAGGTCGCATTTGTCCCCACTCCCCACTTTATTCATAAAACACATGAAAAAGTGGCTTCAGAATTAAATTTACATTAAAAAAACACCTTTTCAAACATACCTGCTGAAAGTAAGGAAAAACCGGGTGAGCAGTTCGGTGGAATGTGAACACTGTAGAGTTGAGAGTCGAGGTATTGGGGCACAAATGGGTGATCGTCACTGGAAATTCGTTCTCAATAAACGCTGCGAATGATGCGGCGTCAAAGCACGTTTACGGTAAGCACTTTTACGTCAAAGCACGTTTACGGTGTTGGACCGAGGCTTGGGTTTACCATTGCTAAATTTAGCAAAAAAGCTACATCTAGCAAATTGCTAGCATCTAGCAAATTTGCTAAATTTAGCAGACTCACATTTAACAAAATTGTGCGGGTTCACCAGCGCATCTGATAAATTTGGATTTTTGCAAAAACGGTCAAGCATTAAGCATTAGTAAAGTTTCTAGAGGGTGGCGCAAAGTCTCGGATCTCGAAACCATTTTCCATCCATTTGTCATCTCTCTATTGTACATTCAAGTCTTCGAATTTGTTAGCCAATAACAAATTTACAAATTACAAGTACAATTACAATTAAATTACAAGTACTCTTTTTATTAGAGGT